ACGGTGAGCAGTGGAATAGAAAGTTCGTTGTAAAACGATTGTGTGGAAGTTTGATATTTCTCTCTTTCTTTCAAAATTTTCGTCTTGAGGTCCTCGATATCTACCCTAAAAGTGAATGATTATCGAAATAAAACTGATTCATCACAATCTATAAATCTGAGTAATTGCTGATTATATTATCAAGTACCAAAATGAAATAGACAGAGGCGAATTAGGGAGACGGGCAATATGAGGATCAAGAACCTTAGGTGTATAAAGGAACAATAGTATGTTTTCTAAATATCTGAACCTTATCCAGAAAGAATGGAGGTGAAACTGATGGAATCGCAATATCGAAGTATTTAAAATAAATATCTGAACGTGGCGAAGGTGCCCTTCCTTTACGCTCCTCAATCGTCATAAGGGCGTTTGCTTTCAAGTCCTGCTTAAGCATGCACCCGCCTCCCGCTCTCCCGCTCTTCAATTTTTAATCGCCGGTCTTTACTGTGAGTCTCTTTTAGACATTGAAAAACGTGAGGCAACATTTTTCATCATCAAATGAAAAAAGTAGCATGATCGAAGCTTAATCATAGTATTTATTTAATGAATCAAATTGTCGATAGCGATTTTTACGAATTTTTGAAATAATATTTTGTGTTTTGTTGCAATTATCAGCAAACCATAAAACTTAAACAACTTGCGGCATGCCCTTTTTGAAATCCTAGCTCCCTCCAACTTTTTTCTGGATACGCCACTGTAAAACGAGTAGCGACATGCATCATACGCTACCGTTAATGCGGTTTGAGTACACAAAGACACATCACGTAGCAGTGACGTACAATGAGTTATGTTTAGTTTCACTAGCGAAAAAGTCCTTCTCATGTTCGGACTTATGTTTTTTATCGACGGACAGTTTTGGCAAAGCGGCCGCCCCATGCTTTTTATTACTGCTGAAAATAGCTACTTATGGAATAGACTTAGAAGAAACTATATAGTTTGCGGAGTAATCCTACTACTCATGACTGGGCCTCTATTCACCTCAATAATTCTGCCACAAAACTAAAAAAATTGAAAATATGGTGAAAGCATATATTATTAATTTGCTATTTCTTGTTAGATGGTAAAACAAAATAGGAAACATTTTCAAAGAGTTGTAACAACGAAGTTTACGTACTACATACACACTACATTTTTTCGTTTCTAGCTTCTTGTTCCAACCATTAAGATCGATTCTTTGTGTATCTCTTGCACACTTTGAAATGGTTCCCAGTTCAATCAATCTATATCTTGGGTCATGGCTGTCTAGACGTACATTTCTATAAGCTTCAACTTTCAGAAAGAGGGGAATTCGAGAATTATATACGGTTATACTGTTTTCTTTGTCGCCATGTCACTCAGTAAATAATAACGCGGCTTTTAAACTCAAAAAAATTCGTCCTGCTATACATGTTTAGAGGTACCGTAAAACATGACCTTAGGCGCGCTATTCAAAACCGCCGGCGGGGTCTGCTCTCTAGCGGTGTCATTCTCCTTCATGGCAACGCCGGCCTCACGTGGCGACAGGAACAAAATGGCACTCTTTCATGTCATATTCTAAAGTACAGTCACGGACGGCCTTTAAGGTTGACTATGCTTGGTAATTCTTCTAGAAATAGCTTGGACTCCAAATTAACGTCAACTTTACAAGTATATTTTTTTTCTCAAAAAGTGGACCTATTTCCCGGCCCTGGTCTTATCAGCAAACAGGGCCGGAACCGCCCCAAATTCCCTCTTGCCCCTTTCCGACCCAACAGCCAGGCGCCTCAGGTCCTGGCGCCCTGGGCGGTCGTCTAGTACGCTTACTTTGATTAAATCAAATATGAATAGTGATTTTCAAAATATATCGATCTCCTAAAAGACTGCGCATATATGGACTAATCAGAAACCAAACATTTCAGTATTCCGTACCTCAATTTATGAATCTTCTCAGAAGAGTTTGTAGAAAACACGTATTTGCCTTCCGAATTGTCGATGTGTGTACTTATGGTTGTGTTGTCAAACCAAAACTCGGCCTGTGTATGACGTCACAAGGATTTCATTGAAACCTTGCTCTCCTATAACGCCGCATTTGAGGGCTGTCACTCTTTCATTGCAATCCTTAAAAATGTAAATAAACCATGCTATTTTTAGGTAATCGAGACCTTTTAAATTAATTGTAATTTACTATTTAATTTTATTAATTGTTATTTATTCTGCAACCGGGCGGAGTTTTGAAAGGAAATCTGGATAAAAACTTACGCCTTGATTGCATGAAAGTATCCCAAATTCCAACATTGGCCCAATTCTTTACGCTCGAATTTTAAATAAGATTTTTTCTACATCCATAGTGATTTAGAATTCACTTATAACTGCAACATAATTCTAGAACTTACAAAAGAGAATATTTTCTGGATAACCTCGACATTGAGATTTAAACTCAATTGATATACTTCAATCATACCATCTTGTCTTCCAATGATTAGTTGATTCGTATCGCTACCATTCAAATCGTAACTATCCATACAGTTGATCGAACTAGAGTTATTTTCGTTGCTTATCAACCAACCTTTAAATGCCTGTAAACTAATATTTTCGATAAAGATTTGACTTTCTTTATCTGTTGCCCATTTTTCTTACTTTCCTACATTTAATATTCCAACTCTACCATCTATTGTACCAAATAGGACACTTCTTGAATCATCATCCTCATGTAAATGGAGTATAGTAGGAGAAGTATCTACTTCCAAACTACACGTTACTCTCGCATGCTCCAAAATCCTACACATTCTTCCTTCGCAGGCGATTATGGACATCAGTCTTCGACTCTGGAAAGAAACTGTTACCTCCAAAACTTAAAATATTCCCATCTCTACAAATGAATCATTTACTCTCGTCGCTGTGATCAGCACTATAATTTTCCCATCTCTAATTATTATGTAAAATTGAGGTTATATATTTGACATTTTTTGAAAAATAATTTGAAATTGAAACTTAAAGCTTCTGCATTTACAATATGCAAAAAAATGTTCAAGAAAATAGCTGTTGGGATCTCAGGAGGTGTGGACAGTGCTGTTGCAGCTTTACTGTTGAAGCAAAGAGGATACGAGGTGCATGGGGTATTCATGCAAAATTGGGACATTATGGACGAAAAAGGGACTTGTACTCTACAAGCAGATTATAACGATGCCCTATATGTTGCAAGAAAATTAGACATAAAGCTACACCACGTGAATTTTGTAAAGCATTACTGGAACGAAGTGTTTGTGCTTTAGTCAAAGAGTATGAGTCTGGGTTTACGCCAACCCTGATGTGCTGTGCAATCGTAACATTAAATTCAACTACTTTCTCGAATATGCCCAAAACAAAACTACAAGCCGACGCAATAGCGACTGGACATTATGCCAGAAACACTTTTGGATTATTTTTAGAAAATTATGATCCAGAAAAAAATGCAAAATTACTCCTGGCCAAGGATGCAGTGAAAGATCAAACATTTTTCCTATGTCAAATTCCTCAAAAATGCTTTGAAGCAGTGTATGTTTCCATTAGGTGACTTGACAAAAAATATGGTGAAAAAAATTGCTAATGCAAATGGCTTAGAAAAATTAGCCGAAAACCTGAAAGCATGGGATATGCTTTATAGGGTCCAGAAATTTTCAAGAATTTATTCAAGACTATATTAAAGATGAACCAGGTGATTTTGTAGATATAGACACTGGACAAGTTATGGGAAAACACAAGGGAATTCACCAATGGACTTTAGGCCAAGAGCTAGATTAGGGGGGCTACCAGTAGCTTATTTTATAGCTAGAAAAGATGTAGAGAAAAATATTATATATATTGCAAGTGGTACCAAACATCCAATACTTTATACAAACTTATTTTTCACATCAGAACCATATTGGATTTACTCCAAACCCAAAGATCTAGAAGAAAATTATATTCTAGATTGTCAGTTCAAATTTCAACATACACAGCATTGGGTACCTTGCAAAATATGTCAGTCAACAAGTGGGTTGACTGTGAAATTGAATACTTACAAAAGGGCTGTAACTGCTGGACAGTATGCTGTTTTTGCTAAGGATGGTGAATGTTTGGGTAGTGCTAAAATTGTAAACTCAGGTGTAACTAATTTTTCATACTTCTATATGCATAATTTGGAATGTATAGCAAAGAGTAAAATGGAGAAAGAGGAGAAACAGTCCAAGAAAAAGTACGCGCATCTTTTGTAGTTTGAAATATTATTTGAATGCATTTTATTTATTTTACATATATTTTATTAATACATTTTACAAAGTTGTATAGAGGGTTTTGTTTTACCATATTATATATTCATTAAGATCTTTCATTTTTTAAAAGGATTTAGTGGGGAGGTGAAGCTTGGCTACTAGGCTACCTTTGACCCTTCTTATGAGCCCTTTCTACCAATACTGTACTCCACATGCCTCTTCCCTCGTTACTGATTATTGAATAAACCAACTCCAGTGATGTGATATGTACTGATTTGGTGCATACATATATAGAGAAACACAAAATTCATGACTTGAAATGTAACTTCCGTGGCCGGGATTCAAACCCTGCTAAGAGCTTGATGCCGTAACATATTTGGCCACCCAGTCCCCTTCCTTAAAGGATAACTTCAAGCTTAGTTTTTATTTTTCACTTTTAGTGCTACCATACAAGAGGCACAGGAGTGACTAGTGGCCGCCACAAATCATGAATAACTTTGCGTACGTTTTGTGTTGTATTGACTGAACCTTCAAGTGGCGTCTTCCAAGGCACAGAGTGCTTAATGCTCGGTTCTGTGCATGGGCGCCTGCAGAACTTCCATAGATAATTTCTTGTGAACCCCCAACAGTGTTTGAAGAGCAGGGGTAGTAAATTGTCACATGCTAAACATGCTTTTTATGGTCTAACCGGATTATCAGAGGGGGACATGATACATCGCTGTGTGCACCCATAAACCCCTATTGAAGAAAATGGACGAAAATGAGGATGAGTCACCAATGGTCTGGTGTCCTGCAGCTCTTAAAGTTGAATTATAAGTAGGAAATACACAATAGAATACCTTGGTCGAGTAAAAGGCCACTACATCAACTATTTTGTCTCCACATAAGTAAGATCCAACTTCTCTGCAGTCTCTATAATGAGTATATATGTGTTTTCCACAAAGGAAAAGATCATTGTCCATAACGAACCTAAAACAGTGTTATAATATATATACCATAGACATTTTTGAAGATTTCATACATAGTGCTTATAGGTTCTGTTAACCCTGAATCGAAAGTCAGGAATAATTTCCCTCTTTGAGAATAGCCTCTGACTTCATTTTTTGATGCTACGAATATTTTTCCTTGATTCAGCCCTACAAAGAAATGTATAGACATATTTTTAAGTGGAGGTACAAGAAAACGTTGTTATACTGACCAGATCCATTTACGTATTTTAGCGAACTTATCGGAGGTCCTGGTAAAGTCTTAAAATGCAAGACTATTTCGTCTTTTTTTATCGAAAACACCTGCAGTACCCCGTCTTCATCTACAATAGCTACCTAAAACATAACATTCTCTCTCTAGCATACTCTAGGTAGAGGATGTGGAGGATAGAATTTCATCAAAAGAACGAGTCTGGAGGCGCAAAAGATCCTGTTAGTTGTCCTATGCTGCGACACTTGTAAGTTACTGGATTGCCTCCAGTTCTTTCGTCCAATATTACGTTATTATTCATAGAAACATGTGCATCAATCTTACCTTACATTGTTCCTTGGGCAAATTGCCAGGCATCAACACAAGACAATTGGAGTTAGTCACACCACGACTGTATAATCTACTCGAGTTAATTCCAGCTCCATATTGTTTCAACCCAACACACGTGGAGCAAGAGATAAGAGAAACTGGAGTAAATGTGCAATAATCAATTCTTTCGCCTAGGTTACAGAATATTGCTTACATTACAAACAGAACCCTGTACGTTACACCGAAAAAGCTCGTATTATTCACTTGACGCAGGAAAAAGAACGACACAGTTTCGATATATTTCGTAGCATTGCCAAAAATCGAATTTTCTATTTACTTTCTTTGGAGCTCAACGACTTACGGAGTTGCTAATTGAAAGAAATTTGGCGATATTTCTAGGACATGACAATTCTTTGCGCTCGACTTTTTCTATATTGCTACAGCAGTAATAGCAGAGTATTTTCCATTTCACGTTCAGAATTCCATGGTCCATGTCCCACTTTGTATACATAATAAAAACTCGTAATATGTATATTTATCTATTTGAATTACAGGTTGCCATGGCAATGTGCGGAGAGCGAAAAAATTGTAAATCTAACCGATTCTCCGCAAATGTCAATCTTGAATGGCTGCTTGCGAGCAGTAAAGTCTCCAGGACGTTGTAGGGTCAGATTTTCTTGTTGGTAATAGTTGTCCTTTCATATTCGGATTGCCGATCGTGGGATACGTGCCAATTTGGATTTGTTTATTCAAAGTTATAATAGTGATAATAAATGGGCTTTATTTCATACGGAGTACGAAAAAGGCGAAGTGTCGCGAAGGGCCCCCGCAGACTGCAGACTTTCTAACGGCCGATAGTTTAGTCGGGATGGGCTGCCGGTGCGCACACCGAAGCAACTCCAAACATTTTGGTTGGTGACGAGCGCGTAAATTAGCCAACAGCCGGCCGGCGCCAACTATTCCGAACGATACTAACGGACTTTACACTTATATATATATATAGCACATAAGCATTTCGACACTGCTTTAGAACTGTTAAATAGTGATATTGAAAAAAATATGAATTGTTTAAATGTCAATAAACTTGAATTAAACATTAATAAAACAAAATGTATGTCAATAGGGAAACATTCAGGTGACAATACAATTGATGATTAATGATAAAAAATGGAAGTAGTCGAGTCATTTAAATATCTTGGTATGTATGTGGATATTAAGCTACTATTTCACGAATATTATGAATACATTATTTCAAAAATATCGAAAAAGATAAATTACTGCTAAAGGGTTTCTCATAATCTTAGTATGTATTCCAAAAAAAATGTGTATAACACTATAATGCTTTTCCATTTTTTATATTGTTCAACCATCTTGTTTACAGCAAATAAAAGCATATTTTCAAAATTACAAATTCTACAAAGTAAAGCTATGAGAATCATTTTAAATAAAAACAAACATGCTAGGATTAACTTTATGTTAGAAGAACTGCAGTGGTTGGATGTTAAAAATTTCATATATATTCATATAGGTTCTCGTTTTCATATTCAAATTAAAAATCATTTATTACCACCACATTTAGAAAACTTCACAAAGTTAAATAGTCATTATCATAACTACGAAACTAGAGGCAGTATAGACAGTAATAGTAGCATAACTAGTAAATCTATATTTCAAAAGGGAGTATTTGAATTTAATAAATTGAATAATGATATTAAACAGAGTTCGAATTTAATAATGTTTGAGGTGAGATTAAAAAATCACTTTATGAATAATCAAAATACGTAGTGACGTAATTTTAATTTTAATAGACCAGAATGTAATAATACAGAAAATGGATTGAAAAAAATATGAAACAGAATCATTATACAAAATTGACATTGTAGCATTAATGCTAAATAAATCTTCAACAACAACAAATGAGACGCTCTAGAAGTGTTTCCACGAAACAGCCATCGATGCTCTTGATGTGTATGCCATTGCGCTGTCTTATTGGAATCAAATGTTCCCTAAGTCCAACTCATCTAGCCGTGGGAAAATCCTGGACCTTGTTTACATACCGGTCCGAATTCAGTCACTACTTCATTTTCCTCAAAGAACCAGGGACCAATAATTCCAGCTGAGAAAATTGCATACCACATTGGTGGCTTTAGGTGCATGCAAATGAATTTGATGCAATTCTCGAGGGTTGGCGTAAGCCCAGTAGCCCGTTTCGATAAATCTACACAAATGAAAATGGGCTTCATCACTAAAAAAAAAAAGAGCGTCCTCGGGAACTACTTCGAGAAAACGTTCATCCGAGAATTGAAGTCACGTTCAGAAAGTTCCTGCACAATTGCCATCTTGTAAGGGTGATCTAATGGGATGTGGGACTTCAGTTCTTCGTCTTGTCGCACTTGCAGTGTGTCTGAACATAGTGTCCCACGTAACAACTGATTTCCGTCCCGGTACAGGGGCCAACGGGCCTAAGTTAAAAAAGCACGCTTCTCACTGTTACGCAAGATGGCGACTGAACCATGTCGGGACAAAACTATATTCACGCCTTTCGAACGAGACCACTACCGCTACGCTACATCAACCGACTGAATGGTGCGCATTTTAAAAAAGGAAGTTGTGCTGACGCACCCTGTAGCAGGTACACTTTCGTTCGCGACGAACATTTTTCTTCCAAATCAGCGATACTCCTTGGACTATTGATGTAAATTTCGCAACTTAGATAGCATAGCCCCACACAAGTTTCTTATTTGGATAATACTTACAAATACTGTACTATAGATGTACAAATACAGGCACATCAGCTCCGGAAAAATATGTTTACATTTGCCAAAACAGAAGTATTTAAAAAAGTGACGAAGGGACAATAAATTTGCCTCTTTCTGAAACATTTTACTGCTGTAAATCTCATTTTGGTGTTAGTAGGTATGTAGTTAATATGGTAAAAAGGATACCTTAGTCTTTGTAACTAACAAAGCTTCTTATTCCGATAACGGAGAACGAAGGATTGCTTCGCTGCTGCGCAAGCGCAGCATAACAAAGATCATAATGAAGCAGCAAAATAAGAGCACTGACAACTTACTAATAATACGTGCTCCATTATAAGCGTTTCGCATTACTATTTAACCATTATTAAGTCCACCTTCGGAGGTTTACTGGAATCGGCGGACAGAAAACCTTTTTCCACTTCAATTATTGTATACCTACAATACGGCACAACAGTGTATGTCAAGGTACAGACAATAAATTGCGACTATATATGAGAGGGCCGTCGCATCGTCCGGCCACGGGCGTCAGTACTGAAGCGGGTGCAATGTGACGTCATGGTCGAACCTCAACGCACGAGCAGCCAATACAGAAAATGTTATAACTTCCTTAAATTTTAAGTTACCGAAATAATTCCTCCATATTTGCAAAGATACCAGTTATGCTATTATATGCAAGTGAAACTGGCAGTATTTTCTACTAACAAACTGTCTGATTCCAAAATGTACGTCGCAAAGTAACCAAATTATACACGCTATTCCTGAGCGCAATATACATATATGCGAACTGCGATAAAGAGATTACCTGAATGCTTGCAATGAAGTGGAGAGAATATCTTCATGGCAATCTTTAAAAATAAAATATACACATCTAGTGTTTCAATTTCATTAAAAGCATTTTTCCTGGCATATATAATATTTTTTGAATATAATTTGGAAAACTTGAATCTTTGAGAAACCTCTGGTTTAAGAACATGCAAAGATTCCAGAATCTGTTATGATGCCTAACCTGTAGAGACGTACCAATATACAGCGTTGCACAAAATTCCTAGAATGACACTGTATTTTCTCGGGTAAGGTATTTTTGGAAAAGATCTAGGTCAGGTTTTCAGTAACTTTCAGCAGGGTATTTAACGGTAACCTTGACCTTCTATTTGAAAACATAACGTTGCCCGTAAATTAATCTTGAAGGTGAAAGTCAAGGTCAAATTAAAGGTCACTGTTGAAAGCTTCTAAAGTGCTGACCTTGGTCTTTTCCAAAAAGTACCTTACCCGAGAAAATAGAGACTTTTGTGTCACGCTGTACATATGATGCTACATTCAAGTGTGATCTTATTTCGAAAACGAAATTACAGATTTCTCGTGGGAGTGGTCATTTGGGTAATAATAACATGAAATTCATCTAAAAAGTATTTTTTGCATAATAGTCCTTACACATACAATGTCATTATGTACACCTAAAACGCTTAATACTACATCTGTCCACACTGTACTATTGTAACAGGTATCTTAGGCTTATTATTGGGCCCAGTGGGTACATTCTCTATCTTCCTCATTACCAACAGTCCATCTATCACTCTACCAAACACGACGTGTTTGGCATCTAGAAAGTTACACTTGGCACATGTGATGAAGAACTGGCAGCCGTTCGTGTCTTTCCCGCTGTTCGCCATTGACAGGAGGCCTGGAGTGTCGTGTTTTATGGTGAAGTTTTCGTCGGGGAAGGTGCCGCCTCCGTAGATGCTCATCACTCCTGTTCCATCACCCTTTGACAAGAACAAATGATGTCAAGTAGGTGGACTCTTTAGCATTAAAAGTATAAATATTTGTATAAAGTGAGATGTCTGGGATTGCATGCACTGCGAATTGTCCATCATATGTCATATATTAAGCAATTGGTAGGTTATAGAAAGCCAGTACCCTAAACGTGCAAGCACATTGAGAAGAAGGCAAGCGGTTTGTGTGCACAAACGTTTGTGTAAGCTTAGACATACGTTCTTTAGTTCTATCTCGCCACCTCGAAAATAATCTCGCCAACATATGAGTATTCCTAATCTATGCTTGTCACTGCCAGTATGTCAAGCCACTTGACATGATTTACCTTTTATTGATCTTTTTAATGTAAAACATAGTCACTAGTAATGGATAGTACCGATATTTTTTACCAGAAATTATTGGAGTATTTTAAGAAATGAATGAAAGCAATGGTCCTTATTAACCAATTCATGTGTGCAAGAGAAGCTGCAATTAAGATCATTCTGGCTAGTGTGCAATTCTCCTGTGTTGCAGTTTACTTACTTATTTCATATGGCACTGATGATGTAACCACCAGAAACAGTGAAAATAACCAGCTATCATTGTTAACTGGCTAGTCCACAAGTGACATACAGTAGTGTATTTTGAGATTCAGTGCCCTGAACCTCTAAAGATCTGCAGTCCCATGAAGAACTGGGAAAAGCAAAAACTTTTGATTCAGATGGCTTGAGCCATTCCCAGCCCATGGCTCTAGGGAAAATACACCACTGGTGACATATGGTGGTCAGATTGATGTTAAGCAACTATCTTAAAAATTGAATTGGGGTCCTTGCAAGGCTGGAAATATGGCTGAGGGAGACCCAGGAGAAGGTGGTTTTTCTAATAATAGTATTCTGTATTCCAGAGCAAAAGTTTCACCTTCAACTCCTATTCTAAAAGCAAATGTAATTTGGGTACAGGCAATTTGGTTTGGTCAATTCGAATATTACAAAATAACGCACTAGCATCGTAAAATTAGAAAATTTTCGCTTGGGAGTGTCAAATTAAGGACTGAATTCAGAATCTGTATACCTAAGACAACCAGAGGGGCTTTCATTTAGACAAATTGTAGCATATTTTCATTTTTGCCTCCTGTTGTTACAAGCAAATTAAACCAAGTGTGTTTATATGGGGAGCTGAATTTAATATGACCATCAAAGATCCTGAAAGTATTATGGGGTTGAATTTCAAGTACAAAATGTGTCACTTGCAGGCCCCTCATTCAAACTGGATTTGGAATTTACGCACCCGATTCACAAAAAAAAACAGATTTTTATCAATATCACAGACTTGAAGAGGTATTTGAAAACTTTGTCTCACATTGTTACAATGAATGAAACTTGGAGTACCTAGGTAATTTGGGATACTAAATACAAATATCACTCTAAGAAGCATCAGGTAGTGTAAGGACGAATTTGTGATTGGTCCTCCCAGAATTAGAGTTTATCCAGATCACAGGTCTGTAAGGCAAATTTACCTGCAAGTATTACTTTATTTGAAGTTGTTCATTGGGTGAACTTGCATTGATTCTCATAAGATGGAAATTTCACAGTTCATGGATAATAGCCTATACAACTCATAAAATTATCATTATAATTATCAGATACACTTACATTAACGAAGTCACCTCCTTGTATCATAAAATCCTTAATAACTCTGTGGAAACTAGCTCCTTTGTACCCTAAAGGTACTCCATCCTTTCTGAATTCTCCAGTGCAAAATTGTCTGAAATTTTCGCTTGTTTTTGGTACTACATCAGCGAATAATTCGAAAATCATCCTTCCGATTTCCTGGAAATTGAATGAATGAAATCAAACTAGAAAATATCATTTGAGCTAAGTAATATACTCACTGTTGTTCCGACCGATACATCAAAAAATACTACTGGATTTGCTGGATGCCTCAATTGAGACTGTATTTGGTTCCAATTCGGCATTTTTATCAATTAAATCCACAAATTGAAAGTTTAGCCGGTCGTTGTTTACAAATACAAAATCATAACCTGTAAATTTGACATCTTGTCATAGATTTTTGGGCTCTGTGATGGTGCTTGAATAAGTCGAGACTACACTTGTATATTTATGGCGGTGGTTATCCCTGTTGTTCCAGATGAAGCAAATTACCTGATTTAAGAAAATTGTTTTGCGACCTCATTAGAGAAATGGAATAAGAAATATTATTAAATCGTGAATACGGTCCGGAGTAAAGAATTAGAGGACAGAATCATCATATTCCAATAAGTCACGATTGCAATTCTGCTATCCTACCTCATGAATCGAAATTCGTGGCACCTAAACGTGCCGCTTTGTCGGTTCTTAGGGCAAAGAAACGGCTATACGTCCTCGAATCAATGGGATCCCTTTTCATGCGGATCTCTTGTTCAGTGTTAATTGAAATCACTCGAGTACGATTCTGGTTGAATTATAGATATTCGACATTATCATTATTATTCCATAAATAAGACGTTAGATATGCGTAATCCATGAAAATAAGCGTCTTTGCGTGTAGACATGGCTTAACGTTCAATATATCAACACGTAAAATGACTCACACTTCCCATCACTAGTATTTCTTCATAGAACAACAAATTCTCAACTTGACTCTGACGTTCGATAAACATCAACTTCAGATTTTTTAACTTTAAACCCTCTTCAAAAACATCATATTGCAGATATTCAGTATTCAGTTGTACGTTCAGTTGTTCTTTAGTTTACTACTGGAGTTCTATATTTCAAATGGATTACAATTAGCTACAGTTAACTTGTGCGCTTTTACTCAAACTTCAGTATTTGCAAATATGTGATAGAAGCTCCACAGTCGAAATGGATTACTTGAAAGGATCAGAACTCATAGCAAGCATTCAAGAATTTTTCGGTGTCAGTAAAATGAAAGAAAAATCTAGCACTTCGGATAAGGAGTATGTAATAGAAAATAAATTTTGGTACTACTTGTTCGTCTTCAGCACTGCTTTAGGGGATGAAACATTTTATTCAGCATTTATACCTTTTTGGTTCTGGAATGTTGATGGGGCTGTGGGAAGGAGAATGGTTTTGGTATGGGCCATTATTATGTATGTGGGTGAGTAACTTGCATCCATATTTCAGTAAACATTTCAAGAAATCGAGCAGTTATAAGTATTAACAGTATAGTCATACAATGTATCATGTTTTGGTCACCACCAAATAACACCAGATGTACTGTTTTGGGCATATCACTGGCCCTTTGGCATTTCCCAAAGTAATATTCAATGTTAATAAAGTTTAACATCAACATCTGTGGTTTGATATGACTGTCAGCAAAACATGGAGGTTGCTCAGCAAGATACCTCAGGAATTTTCATAGGCTTTAATGTAGCTAGGATGTTTGTAGTTTTTTTTTAAGTTGTGACCTCCATTCTAATGCAATATTACATCAAACCTTGTTAAAATTAAATGTTAATAAAGCTTTGCCACATTAGGTTAGAAATATTGTAATAGATAAGAAGCTGGTCAAATGGGATTAAGGAGGCACATATAGTGTATCAAGTGGCATCTAGAAACATTTAGAAAATGAAGGATTTTTTGGAAGAAGATATTTCCCATACAAAAAGACTTCATTTGAAATAGGGACTTGAAAACAGCTACATATAGAGCTTCTTATGAAACATCCAGTTCCATGAAACATAATGAAATAATACCTAGCAATAAACTTTTTTTTCAATAAAGCTTCCTGTAAATAGATTACAACTATAATTGTGAATTTCATACAAAAGCTAATAGGCGTTCAAACCCAAAAAAATGATTGCATACAAATACTTTTTTATCTTCAAATATTTGTGCTGCAGGATTGTATATCTGGCAAAATTATGTACACTGATACTAACTGGTAGCTAGAGATATTTCAGAATACCTAAGTAATCAGTTCAACAAAGTCATCATTTGTATATGTTTTAACATTCCTTATTAGCACATTTTTTGGAAAGTGTTTCAGTTGTACCTAAATTTACTTTAAGATTATGTCCATTTTTGCTCCATTGCTATGTGATATTTTCAAAAAACTTCTCTCGAGTTCAAATCCTTTGGCCAGTATATCAAAGCTTCAGTATGGCCCTAGTAGTAAGCATATTATAGAGCTCAAAAGTGGATTTTTACACTATTGCTATTGTGTAAGAACTGCAATATGAGCAGGCAACATATGTATTGTTTAAACAATATGTATTATTTAAAAAAATCCTGATAATGATGTTTATGTAACAGTCATGTTGTTAGCAAGAAATAGACAGGTTTGTCAACATCTTAAATGATTTAGCAGATTTGTCTGGGTCAGATACAGATAGATGTATATGATTGATCTACATTTTTTAATCACAGTTCATATAATGTGATGATGGTGACTTTGTCATAAGTTTATCTTGATCTATCATTAAATAAGATAAGACAGGTTGTGATGTAATTATGTAGATGTTTTAGAAGTACTTAACGTTTCAAGTTATTTATACAAGAAATCTCAAATTTTTATGATGTGATTTTTGGCTGGTATATTAAACTAAGAATGTATATGTTTGTCAAGATTTTAAGCAATTTAAATATATGACATTCTCTCAGAAATTGATTAACTTCTATATTGAAACTGAAAACAGTTCTAGTTTGTAAAACTGTTCAACCAATGCTAATCACAAAAATCAAAAGGACATACAATATTGAAGTTGGAGATGCTCTATTTTTTATATCTGTATAACAGGTATTTATTTATGAATATGGTTTTTTGAAGGCCTATAAAGAAAATATTTATTGTATTTCTATTTTCCCTTACATGAAATCAGTTATCATTGGTTCATGGCAACCAGACATTGTAATGATTTTGTATTCCTATTTTTATCATAACTGATAAAGTATTTGTTCAAGTCAGAATATCTGAATGGATTTTATGGGATGTGATAGTGCATGGAATGTAATGAAACACATAATTCATTATGCTTTTATAATGATCATATTCTAAGAAATGATATAATGTAACATCCAGAAAATTGATAAAATATATCTAGTGATGCAATCATTATTATTCATTGTATATTTGGCTGCATATATTTGCCAATTGTAGGTTGATTACTGTCTTTTATTTCCGACTTATTAGTGAGAGAGTATTTTGATTACAAAATAAAAACTCAATTTTCCTTGTCAATTTCTGTGGGAGGTAAATATGTAAACTATCATTACTTAATGTTTATCAATGTGCCATTTAACATTACTAAACAATATATGAGCAGCATATTTTCACAGAATATTGTAGGGTACATTATATTTGTTTCCGATTTTGCACACACAATAGGAAATAATCAGAATCAGTTCACTGATTTTAAATTGAGAGACGGCTAAAAATAAGAATACTCCTAACATTTCTTCAAATGACTAATTTGCATTTAAAACAGATTTCTATGTTTGTCCCATTTTATCTCAGAAGTCATCAGTGTGTTTCTTCATACAGATTTGAACAATATATTGATTGTGCTAACTTGAAATGTACCTTCTAGAAACTTTTTCTAGTGTAAATTATTTTGTCATAAATAACAATAGCGTTAAATGTATTACAATTAGGGCTGATAGATCTCTAAACACGCGCAAAAATAGTATGTACCAATGTCGAATCAATTGTTCAACACAATCTCAGAAACAATAACATTTACTTTGAAATGCTATAGCACAGGATATATAGAAAAAACGTAGATTTTCACTTTAATTTTTTATGGAGAAGTGCGGAATTCAAAGCCACTGTAGTGATCAACATGAAAAAATGGCGTCAAGTAGGTTGACTCTGCACTTCCTACGCAATGCCGTCATTAGTTCATAAAGGATTAAGTTCAGCGCAATTCAAATTTTCTGAGAAAAAAGTCAGTTAACGAATATGGTGCAACAGAAAAATTAAACGGATTAAGTCAGTCAAACTGACCCTCCTTGACCCTGAACTTAAACCCGTTCAAAAATGTTTGTGAAAACATCATTTTGTTATGGATTTTCTCTCCGCCGCGACTTGGCCGATTAACATTGGCTTCCGAGGGGGGAGGCGGTCGAAAGTTATGGCGGTGGTATGTTAGATCGTAAACGGTCATAGCGTAAAAAAAATAATTTTTCAATTGGAAAATGTTTCGAGGAATGGCCATATCATTTTAGTTTTATTTTCTAGGGTTATTTTTAAAAAAATTGCCGTGCCAATATTGAAATGTCGTTTTGCCCCCCAAACAAAAAAATGACCACTATATATGTTTTGAGTAATATTGAGGAAATTTACTTGGTTTTATAATTTATACTTGTAAAGTGAAAAGAATAAAAGATTTATGGATATTTTTAGACTGATTAACATGAACAATTTTAGAAAATAGAACAGAAAACGTTGTTTATTCGTTGAAAAGGTTGAAAATAGCATAACCATGCTTTTCCGAGAAGCACGGTATATTTCACTTTGCAGCTGGAAAATACTTTCCTGTATTATTCAATATTTTTGAGATGCACGATGATTCACAAAAATATTGGAAGAAAGTTCCTGTTCTGAAACAAAGTACGTTTCTTTCCATATATTTTATTACCCATCACAAAATAAACATGTTCAGTGCTTTTCAGCTGAAAGCTCCTCATATTTATTTTTTGAACTGGTCATGTTAAAAACCTAAAATGTAGAGAGGTGAAATTGACGCATGAATAGCTTTAACATAAAAATAACAGATGAAAATTTCGAGATAGGCGTCATCTTGTAACATTTTTTGAAGCGGAGTAAAATTTCATCTGATACCCCATTTAGAAGCTACTTATGAGTACTTTATTAACCCTAGAATATTTTTGTATATCGAATCTAATATAACTAATCAACAAAACGTTATAGTATGATATATCAATCTACTTCTTTTGGAATGGTCTATCTGATTGTCCAAAAAAACATACGCATTCAGATTAAAAAAGATTGACAGATGTTGACAATTTTTTGAAATGGTATATATCTCATATTTTTTTACATAATCAGATAAACCCACTCAGAGAAGAACATTTGATATATATAGCTTCTTGATAATTGGTTGTTAAGTTATAAGGGATTCAGTGTACAAAAACGCTCAACTTTGACAGCCTGCTAATTTGCGATTTTGAAAGAGTGCTTTTTTGTATTCTAGAGCTATAAAAATGAGTTATCATACGACCCCTCCATTTGAAAAAGGATTCCAAAAGGTCGTCTAGTCGCCGGCTTGAAATCATCAACTGCATTCTTCACGCTAAAATATAGTATTCATGTAACAATTTCATTTCACTGAATTCGAGCGTCTTGACCTGTTTGAAAAATAAGAAGGGGTGGGGGGTTGGTTTTGAAAAGCACTGTATATCTCTCCATGTGATACGAGATGACTATTAAAGCTTCAAAAATATGTTTAAATTCTTTGAGGCTACCATCTACCACTGTTTAAACCTACACACAAATTGTGTCACACATATCGATGTTTAATCGTAAAGCAAGAAAATAGCGTCAAGTAGGTTGACTCTGCACATCCCACGCAACGCCTTAACTAGGGCCTCTGAGAAAAGAGTCAATCAAACAGGTGCATTCAATTAGTCCATAGACCTTCTTCCCTTTTCTATCGGTAGTCTATTCGGCAACGTCGTCTCTCCCCGATACCTAACCGGATCAGACGTCGCAGCGCGGCCACAGCATATGAAACAGTATGCTCTGGCGCGGCAGTAATACGTGTAATACCAGAACACTTACCAAGGCCGGCGGTACGCTGTCGGGAGCAAACGCAGACGCGGCCGGTAGGGTACGTACGTCTGCTGTGAAGAAATCTGTGTTTGAACTATGTCTGATAGGTGCATAGAATAGCAAAGGTTGGGAGCGTATAAATATGCTAACAATCCCCACTCCCTACAACCCCCACTCTCAAAATTTGCACCTGTAATTTTTTTTCAGAAATGATCAGGATCCTCTGAAACGTCAAAAAAAAAACAAGTTTGAGCGATTTTTATTTTTTCGTTTTTGGCCTTTTTCTCTGCCGCCACTTGACCAATCTTCAAAAACTATAAAGACAGATCGACAGATAAACGGAAATGAGTGACTTGTATTTTCATGTACATGTACATGTCATATGTACATCCAAAAAACAATATCTCATTTTCGAAAATTTTCGCGATTACGCGCCAGTAGGCGTGGGAAGTAAAATCAAAAAGACGATACAGTGTTTCTAGATCCGAAGCTGGTTAATGTTTTGGAAATAGAACTCTACTTTTATAGACTCTTCCATTATGAAACCTCTAGTTCGAGGGTGGGAGGCGACCATCGTATATACGGCACTGCTGTTTTTATTTTTACCAGTGGTAAAAAGTGAATATGAATATCAACGATTGTTGGGTTATTTGCAATAACAAAGTCTATAACAGCAACAAATTGGTCTTGCTTTGAAGGTTTTTTAATCTTCTACAAATAATGCCTGATTTTTCAATCTCTGTTTAACTTTCAAGTCAGGTAATTATGAGCTGGAAGATAACTATCAGTTGTCTGTGAATTCGTTTTTCAAGTTGTAGTTTACAACCAATAAACCGTTGATGCAGCAAGCCTGAATGATAGTGTTCTATGGGTTTCGTGATGTTCTGCGTTTGTGCCTCGTGTCATCCATGATAACTTATGTCACTGTCAAGCACATTATCTTAGATATTGCGGTGTGACCACAACTTTACTGTTATCCCATAGATGGAACTCTGGACTTTAGGACAAACTTGATATTGAAAAACTCTACTTGAAAGTTAACTTCTAGTTAGCACACAAGTTGCAGTTAACTTACGATTGGAAAACCGGTACTATGTTGTAGACAATTTATACCAATACTACATAGTTTTGTTAATATACTCGAAAAAGTGATTTTCCATCTTTGACGATTGATATAAAGTTACCCTGCAAAACTTTCTGGGAGGAGGGGGCTCGTTTACCTCTAAGAGTATAAACTTTCTATACGTTTTCAATAACAGAGATTTTTGGTAGTGGTCTACTTGAAACGAGATATGAGTTTAGACTTTGTTCCAGGTCAAGGTATTAAGGACATCTTACGATGGCCCAGACCGGGACCTCCCGCAGTCAGACTTCAGCACAAATGGTCACTGGAATATGGCATGCCCTCTACACATGCCATGGTCGGGGTATCTATACCATTCTCCATTATTCTCTACACCATGGACAGGTACCAGTACAACGTACCATTGGGCGTTTGCGCCGCTGTTGTTTGGTGCACGTTGATATGTATTAGCAGATTGTATCTGGGAATGCACACAGTATTGGTAAGTACGCCTGAAGTGTGAGATTCTTCGTAGATCCGACAGATTAGCTAAACTCTTCTGTTACGTTATAGTTTTAATGCAGAACTAGCTTAAGTCCATTTTGTCGTTTTTGCGCTTTTACAGCAACGGATAGATAGGGGTTTGAGGCATTTCTTATTTAATGCGGAAGATGAAAAGCTACGTTTTCATGGGATCATCGGACGACAGTGTGGCACGCTCTGCTTTTTTGGATAATTCTCACGTGACTTTAAACAGTACTGGAAATAGGACTTGTCCTAATTTACGTATGTTACACTCAAGACACTTTATAAACAGTACAGTTAAAATAATATGCCATTTTGTCATAATTGGCATTATTGTCATTAAATTATCTTTTTAAAACATATGAAACAAAAAAAAAACGCAGAATTGTGATTATGGATATAAACTCTGCAAACACTAAGTGGTGACGTCCTTCAGTACATTAGTCCTTGTATTTGTATAGTACATGCATTTTGTTTTTGATATGTATAAGCACGTTAGATACAATTAATATACAAAAATTGTTTATTTTCCGCATACGTAAGTACTTAATGTACTACTACTGTTCGGACATTATAGTAATCTTATAAATATCGTTTTCTTTCAACTAATTAACAAATTAATCATGTAGTTTGAATCCGTTTTTGCAAGCAGGCAGTCGTTTTATTAATACTATTTTTATACAAATGTATTCCTGCTACACTAATTTAGCTTTGTGATTCATCTGACACTTTCCGTTGACTGTCTTCCTTCCGCCATCTCTGCCTATATAAATATAAAATACTCGAGTACTTTCCAGGTCGAGTCGCGAAGCGTCATGGAAGTGGTCCAGATGGCATTAGAAATTAGATTCATCACAATGATACTATGTTATGTGCACAGAAATATAGACAAATTTAAAAAAATGCAAGAAATCTATACTCACAATTGAATATTACTAAAAATAATGGACCTAATGTTAATTTATATAATATATTCGTCAATAAAAATAGAGAACACAATTTTGAAAATATGTCTAATCGCTGCTTTTTGAAGTTTGCTTAACCACTATTTCTATTCAGTTGATGAGTACGTTGTTGCTATGATAGACTGATTTTAAAATAGTTTGTAGGTTCCCACATATATGTACATTTTAGTAGTAGTACGTAGTAGTAGTACTGGTGGGGAGGCGCAGCCTGGCAAGTCGGTCACATTTGGCCCTTTTTGCCGACCCCGAATGTACCAACACTACACCATATACTTGCCCTGTCTGTCGAACCTTCCAGAACTCCTAATGTATGTTAGGATGTCCAACCACTCTGCTGAATGGGTGACATCGCTATCAAAGTTTACAGCTCCAACCCTTAGGTTGTAGTACACGGGGCGGAAGTGTGGGTAGTGGAACGCTGTATGGTGATCCTTCCTTAGTAGGGACTAGGGCAGTGGAATCTACAGTGGTCCGTAAGGATCTCCACAGAAAGATCAGGTGATTTCCTATTTCTGTCCAGTAGCCACTACCAGCGCATCCGACGTTTGTCGTGGCCCGCTACGAACCTTGCAGTCCTCTCTCTCTCTCACAGTATTCCCAAGTCCCTATATGCTCATTTGTTCAAGTCGGCGTTGACCTGGCTTCTGGCCTGTCTAGCCGGATAATCGACTCTCTGGTTTTCCGGTAATGCACTGTATCCGGGGACTCAAAGCAGGGTCACTTCTTTAAATCGGGCTAAGCTCTAAATAACAGTAGTGCATTCCTGGAATAAACTTGAACTTGTCCTCGGTGATGCAATCGCCTTCAGAGATGCTTGATTGTCGGAACATATAAAAATGCTCCGCAGACTACACTGTTATAGCTCCTCTGAGTATGCCACCATTAACATGGCATACGAGGTTTTGTAAATTGAGTGATGAGACTGTTTTTTTTTTGTTTTATTCAAATATAATTACAATTTAATATTGTCACCCTCAAAATAACTTCCTTCTGAAGCCACACATCTCCTCATAGCAGTGCTGGAACTCCGATACTGGAATAGCCTTCATCTGGTCGGTTACAGCCGTTTGAATATTTTTGACTGTCCGTTGAGGCGATTTTTCAACAAAGTCACAAGGACTCAAGTTAGACGAATAGGGAGACTGAGGAGCCACATGAATGTTTTAACTGGCCAAAAACCGGTTTATTGACATTGCTATGTGACAAGTAGCATTATCGTAATTCAACACCCAGTTATTCTTGATCTGATAAACGGTGATGTGGCTCAAATTTAACTCTTTCCCGATCATTCTGTCAACCGACGATCTGAACGCATAAGATCCCGGATTCTGTCGATATTTTCATCGGTGCCTTAAACTACTGAAAACCTGGGCTCTTGACAAAAAGCTATCGCCGTAGGCCTGCTGAAGTTTAGTAAGAGTTTCCGTTGCACCTGTGCCAAGTGCGAAGCAAATCCTGATGCACAGTTGCTCGAAATTGATATCATTTTTAGAACACAATAGGAAAAACTGTTTCACAAATCGCTACGGACAACCAAATTACGCGAGCGAGTTCAAACTTTTAACGAAGGCGGATAACATGTTTCCTTGCCTCCCGTCCAGTGTTGCCAGATTGAACGCTACGTTGCAAGTCCTACCTCTGCCTGGAAGACTGTTGTGTGGATTCCAAGCGCGAATCTTTCCTGTACGTCTCTGCCTTGCAGGTATATTCCCGCTCCACTGGATCCTGATTCGTTGTAAAAGGATCCGTCGGTGAAACACACCAGGCTATGAGGCGGAAATATATACGTTGTATATAATATGGTGATCAAACATGGTATGGTATGATATACTGATATAATAATAAAATAAACTTTTTATACTGATACGGTCGCGTAGGGAGATTGTTGAATATCGACGCATTGCTACTGCTATACTTTTGAAAATAAGTGCTTTGTGGTATTTTAACAGCAACGGAAAACTAAATTTTCAAAAAATTTTATGCATTTACTTTTTTATTTTTTCTAGGATATCATTGTGGGCTTGGCCTTAGCTATGATCCTGATGATTCCATTAGTACCAATCGTGGATTTTCTAGACAGTTACCTTCTAACGAATCCCATATCACCGCTTCTGTTACTGGTATCTTCTATACTAGTTATAGTATATTATCCAAACAGCGGAAAGTGGACGCCAACAAGGTATCAATAATATAATGGTTATTTATCGTAACTATGCTGTATGACCCCTTTTGAAAATTTTATCGCGCTAATCACGATTATAAAAATTCGAAATTTATATGCGAATGAAACTTGGTACAGTGAAGTGTAAACTTATGACTAAGGATTGTGATTTTGACAAACATTAGTTATTAAAAAAAACAGAATTTCCTAGGTCGGCCTTGAAATTATTTGATTGTCATTTCTTTCGCATAGCAGATTTATCCGAAAATCACTTTTAGTTTTTCCTGACCTTATTTGAGATGGGATTTCAAAATAAATTGCGTGTTGTCTTTGTTACTTATTCTACGCTAGAAGATGGCATAGTCAATTCTTTTATTCCATCAACAACTTTGGTTTTTTAATGGACGCTATATTGGAATTTTGTACAATTAAAGACTTTTCAGTCCTAAAATCAGTGATGTATTTCCTTAGTTGGCCATACATTTGATGTTGGATGAGAATTATAAGGATATAAAAAGGTATGGTGAAACCTGAACACAAAATTACATTGCTTACTGCTGGATTTATTTCTCTTCTTCTCAGTCATCCAAACTGTGTTTGCTATGTTTAATTTGAGGTCTGGTCTGGTATACGAAACAACTGAAATCTGATAGTTGTAAGACCTACCTAGAAACTTCTGTTTTTCTGGAATAACAGGTTTAGCAATGTCAAAGTATGACATATTACACATTTTTGAAATTAGAATTAAAGACTCGTATTTATCTGCGCAAACATCCAATGTGGCGTGCATAAGAAAAAACAAAACAAAAAGGTGGCAACGTTAATATGCAACTTATTTTGAAATAAATAAAGTCGGGAAAAATTAAAACGATTTTGGGAAAATTCTGTTTTTCTCTTCTCTCTCCGGAAGTACTTTGAATTTCGAATTGTTCTAAGCGGAATTTTGTTGATTATCTAAGTGTACCTGTTTATCTTCACTTTGGTGTAGGTGTGGCATACAACAGCTGGCTGTTTTTTTCTTTCAGAGGCGACACCAGCATGATCTTAGGTGTCTGCGTGGGCATCCACGTCGGCGCCTGGCTAAACTACCAAACAGGCCTGATTCAACCTACCACGAAGCATCTAGCCGCACCTTATGTCATCATGTGGCCATCCTACTATATGCTTTTCCGCATGCTCTTACGCACAATCATCGGGTTCGTATGCGTACTCCTCACCAAAGAGCTTTTCGGGCATTTGACCTACCACGTGTTGTGCGCGGCGCTGGGTGTCGACGTGGACGATTTGAAAAAGTCTGAGAACACACTGCAGAATAAGCACAAGACTTTCGTGGAATTGAGTTGTAAATATGTGTATTGCGGGATGATCGGGTTCAACACTCTGTATATGTTGCCGCAGTTGTTTAGGGCGTTAGGTATTGAGAGACCAACTTTCTTCACGGAGATTTAGTGACTGCAGAGTATTGTTTCAAGGTCATTTAGAGCTAAATTCGATCAGTCTGGTAGATAAATGCTTGGAAATCATGTAATTTCTCAGGAGGTTTGTCGTAGATAACTTGGACTGGCGTGGTTTGTAGATTTTTGTGATTACTGCACAGTGAACACAAGCAGGGAATTGTTTTCAGTTCAAACATCTGCTTGAAGTTAGAAATTTGCTGCAAGCGTATGTAGAACAAGCATTTTATATTCTGTGAGTTATCATTAAAAATTTCGGCACCAACACTTATGAAACATTCCTAGAATTACGGAATGTATTCTTGTGAAAAATCGTATTTTTGCGGTTTCCTTCAATCCTAATATTCACTTTGAGGTTGAAAATTTACTGCAAGCGTTTATAGATCAGGCATCTCGGGATGACTGAACATGGTTTTCATACCGATTATCCTCTATGTTTGCCTGGCCGCTAAACGAAATCGCACCTCTGGGTGTGTTTTCACGTTCGCGGAAGGCTTTTGGCATTTTCGGAACGATGGGCGAGGGTGGCGTATCTAAAACATTAAAAAAACGATGGATAACCTCATGCTCGTTTGTAGCTTTGGGGGCTGGAAGTCCTCAGCATTATACGTGGTGGCTGAAAAGTCGTATCAGTATTTCAAAGGCATGTGGTTTCATTTAGAGGCCACTAAAACATGGAGGATTATGGAAGATTTTAGCACAAAAATGTATTAATATACGTTTCAGAAGGATTCAGTTGACAGCATTTAAGGAATGCAATCGTTCAAGACATTTGTATCTTCATATTCCCACAACTGAGAGTTTTGAAACCCATTTATGCATATTTCAAAATGGATAATAGATTATACGTTGCCGAAGACGCGCAACTGATCATTTTTGAAACTTGAAGCCATAAAGGAGTGATCTTGAAAAACAAGTAACCTATATCCTATCGTATGAATCTGTTTGAATTTGTCAGATAACAGTGAATATTTTCTCAAGCATCACATTGAAACATATCATTGAACTTCATACTTTTATCCAGTGCTTCGACAAAAATGTAGCACTGGCCTTGTTGGTAGGCAGTAGTAGTATTTTTTGAGTTTTTCTTCTGGTCGTAGAGGGAAACTTCGAATCTTCTTAGATACACGGCGCTACTACTCGCCGGGCATGCCCGATTCACCACAATTTTTAGATGGTCTCCAAAAGTCATCTCGTTGTCCAAGACACACTACAGACCTGCTGGGTGTTAGCTGCAATGGACTGTCAACACTGATGGAACAGGCGTAACGCGAATTCATTGCGGCTAGAATGAGAAACGAGAAGGATAGCGCTAGTCAGGGAAAAACATTGGCAAAACATCGTGGTCCATTGTGGTATTTCCATATATGTTCTAAAGATTTCCGGTGAATGTTTGTTTTTAGTGACGTTAAAGATTAATATTGATAGTTTGCGACAATTATTATAAACATTTTTATGCCGGACAGCCTTCAACAGCTGTTGTTTTATGTGATATTTGTTTAGAAATGGTTGAATCTTGCAGTGTGGTGAATTGTTGCAATAGACACAGAAAAGATGTGAAAATGAAGTTTCACAGGTTGGTTTGAATCATCTCATTTATTTTTGTGTGAGAATTACCTGTTAATTGGCAATTCGAGGAAATATCTGGATTTTTAGGATACCTAGAGATCCTAACATGAGGAAGTTGTGGTTACATGATATAAGAAGAGAAAACTTTACTCCCAGTACAACAACGGTAATTTGTGAAAAGCATTTCACTCCAGAGGATTATGAAGTTAGTGTTCATGGAAATAAGGTACTAAAAAAGGTGGCAGTTCCATTTGTGTTTGATTTTCCAGCCCATCTCAAGAAAGATCCTAGCCATCGAAGGGTTTTGAAAAGAAAACATGAAGAATCCTCCGAGTCTAAGCTTAAGGTTTTAACTTTTCTACTTTTAAAAAAGATATTTACAATGATGAAGTGGGTCTTAGTAACGTAATTATTTTTAGAACAAACTTTGGCTATTGGTGAAGTAGTAGAAGAACCTGAAAATGGCGATCAAGCTGATGATGGAAATATATTGGCAGCTGATCCATCAAACGTAACACAAAAACTAGGATTTTTAGAATCAAGTGAACCTTCACACATATGCAATTTAAGGTAATTGTCATTGAACTTTATGTTTCTCATTTGTTACAACCTCTTTTTGTTTGTAGGGTCAGAAGATCAGCAGTATACTTTGGGGATTTCAAAATTTCTGATTTAAATAATGTGCAGCGTCGGAAGAGATTTTGGAAAACTGCTCATGAAACTGTTCATAAGTACAAAAAAATAACAAGTATAATCAGTGTAAAATTCGTAGACAAAGAAATAAAATAAAAAGTCTGAATAGTCTGGTAGATGAACTACTTAAAGAGAAGAGAATATCTGCAGCTCAGTCAATAGTATTACCTGAATTATTAATTACTTATGTTAAATACTAATTTTCATATCTTCAAATGTGTAAAGGAGAATTTATTGTTAAGTTTCATACATATGTATATATAAATAAATAAACTTGGTTTTTTAATTATAATTACGTTTCCAGGATTTTATCTCGTTCCAGTTGCCTGAATGACTTTTAAATCTTCTCTAATAATCCTCGGTTTCCTATGCAATTCATTCAAGTCCGCGCGCTTTTTGCTCTGACTAGCTCCATCTCTTTCTCGGACCTCTTTGTCGTATGTTGGCCGCATTATCGTTTCATTGTACAAATGGGACGGGGCGATTCCATCAGTGTTGACAGTTCATTCGTTAGCTGCGTGTTCCTGATTTTAAACAAGACGTCTCGCCTTTTTACCCTACTGCCTCGCAGAATCGAGGCTTCCGTTTTTCCGGTGCTAGTTCTAGCTTGTGGTCTATCATTTATCTATCTATGATGGTTAGCGCCTCATTTGTTTTCCGTATGAGGTCGATTTCGTTGTTGGCCGTAGAGATAACGGCCAGGTCGACGGCATATGCAATAGTTTCGATACCTCGCTGCAGGGGGATCCTTGACACTCCATCATAAAGTATGTTCCAGAGGAGAGGTCCCAATGCAGAGCCCTGTAGAAATCTGCATTTTCTTCCCTGCAATCGTGATTGTTCTGGTGTTCAAATAGCTGCAGATAAGGTTGCATAGATATCTGGACACCTGGATGTTTAGGAGCTCGCTGATGATGAGGCTCCCTGAGGCAGTGTTGAACGCATTTCCCACGTCCAGCATCACAAGCGCGCACCATTTATGCGTACGCTCCTTGCATGTTGCGGTAAATGTCTATGGTTGATTTTCCCCTTCGGAAGAGGAACTGGTGCTTAGAGAGCCCTCCTTGGCTTTCGATTTATCTCTCGCTTGGAATTTCATACAGCTTGCCGACCGTATCCAGCAGAGAGATTGGCTGGTGCGATGACGCCAGTTCTGGAGGTTTTCCGGGTTTACCAACAAGAATCACATTTGCTCTCTTCCAGGCTACAGCGAATAATTGCTGTTTCAAGAGTAGGCTGTAGTAGTAGTGGTGAGGAGACAAGGCCTTGCAACTAGGTCAACTTTTACCGTTTTTAGCGACCCTGAACACTGAACTACTCCACAAGCCATCAACTAGTAATTTATTAGTTAATCGACCAGCTCCAGCAATGCAGTGTACCGATGTTGATCTTGCCCCAATTTAATGCGTACTTTAGGTAGGCAGCTCATATTGCTTGTACAATCTATGACTGCCATTCTATCTTTCTCTTTTACACTACTAGTTACACGTACAAAACCTATTTTTGGGGTAACCTGTACTAGTGCTTGAGCTTAGTAAAAATTATATTGACTCAGTATAACTCATGTTTCAAATTTTACTGTCTCCACGACTCTTGCTACAATTTAAAAATGCCGAATAATAAGAGTCTCTTACCCTTTAGAGCCTCTTTATGATTTTAAACGAATTTTTTGTTTTAATGTATTTTGATGAAGCGTGGTAGACGTAATAATTCGTCACTATTTGTTTATTTCCACACAATTTATGTTTTACAATGTTATATTTTGTTTAGTTGTCATATATTTTGATGGGAGTGTAGCCAAGTAATACTTATTTTGCCATTTAGTGACTTGCAATCAAACGATTTTGTGATAAATAGATGTTAATTTGATGTATAGTATTTATAGCTCGTTATTTTCAATTAAAAGTTTCAATATTTACTGTCTTTCAATTCAAATAATCTTTCCCCCCACATTTTAGGAAAAAAACTCTTGTATTATAGAAGGTTGTAGATTCAGTAAGTAGCAACTTTGAAAGAAATTATAGTTAAGAAGGATGAAATTCCTCAGCTAAGGAATCAGTTTCTTGAAGATCCTAGAAGCCCATGCACGGGATCCTGTTTGGTCGCATTCCATCAGTTAACATTTACTTGCCGATTTAATTTCACCAGACTATATCCTTCAGTCAACCCCACACCCAATTTCACTGGACTATCTCTGTTAATTCACCAAATCCATCAGACATCGACTACAACCGTTCGACATGTTTGCCAAAACTTGCGTTAGTTAACATTAACTGTTTGTTAAACTTGAGAAGTTAATTTCACCAGACTATTTAAGCACCTGTGAAAAAAGTTACACTATTTTTTGGGAGCTGATTAATGAAAAGTCAGGGTGCGTTAGGATACAGTGACAGCATTTTAAAATTTAGGGCTTGCATGTAAACGAGCTCTGTGTTTTATTTTTAATACCACTATCAAACAGTTAACTATTTTTTGCGAGAGGATCAATGAAGAAAGTCTGGGCACATGCGTTTATTGCTCTGTAAATCAATTCTGATTTTACAATAGTAAACACAGTTTTTTATTTTATCGTTTATCAAGCACTTAGTATAGATTTTACAATTACATAGCTTAAAATTTGTCGATCAGACCAAATCATTCATTCATGTGAATTTAGAAAATTTTAAAAGCTATTTCTTGAAGTGTCCAGATGAACATAAAGTTCACGAAGTATTTGTTAGCACTAAACAAATAGTCTAGCTTTTTCCGAGCAGCTGGAGTTATTGACGAGACGTGTTTGTGCCAGATCAAGTCCTCGGTGATCTGGAATCCGACCAGCCGAAATGAACGGCTCTTTGGTAGGCCCCGGTCATCCATCGAAACCGAATGAGTAGGGCGCTTTTTGTTCGACAAGGTACAGTACTGGGTTATGGAAGCATTAAACTGTTCAAGATTGTTGCGTCCCGAACCAGTGATAGCTTTCAGGTCTTTCGTCAGATAGGAAGCCACTGCTAGTCTTGTTTTTTGTCCAACGCACCGGCAGAGATCGTTTTGTCGCTGCATTTAGAGTGCTGTCATCAGCAAAGCTGTGGATCGTACAGGAAAGGAGGTCGTTGATATGCAAGAGTAACAGTGTCGGATCCAAGACCGATCGATGGGGAACACCCCGTTTGACGTTGTGGGAGGAATAGGAGAAACAGTCAATTGCGACGGATATCTTGCGGCCAGAGATAGAGTCAGCCACCTATCTGCAAAGCTGGGAAGTCATAGGATGGAAGATTGTATAAGACGGCAGCGTACCACAGCTGATCAAACGCTTTCGCGACATCAAGAGCAACGACACGAGCCTCACCATAAGTCTAGATGAGTTTACTCCACAATAGGAAGGTTCGACATTTTTCGTATTTCTCTTATTTTAATTAAAATCGAGGGATTTTGTTATTAGAAAACGGTCAAAGAAATTTGAGTGCAAAATATTAATATTTACGTCGACGGAAAGCATTTTAATATCAAGGATCGACGCGAGGCTAGACCGCGTGACGTCAGTAGCCAGACACGTGCAGTCGCCCTCATAGAGTACTTGTATCTTGTATACGGAGTGAAGAGTATACGAATACGAATTTATATAAACTGGGACCGACGTTTGGGTACTTTATTTATTTGTGCTAGCACAATGCTCCAAGGTTATCAGAAAGCTGATTCGCGAAATTTACCCCATGTGAATGTGGAAATGGTGTACGAGTTTTTGGCAAATAATGCAAATTTAAATGAACCTCAGAGCAGCGGTGTTAAAGTAGTTCGGTAAGTACCTATACGTAGTCGTGCCATAAGTTCTGTCCCATGATAATCTCATGATAAAAATGAAACAAGATAAGATATATTTATATGAAAGATATTATTTATTCGACAACATTTTTAGAATTCATAATCAAACAGTTTTATTCAAAATGTCCCCCCTTGGCCTTCACACACTGCTTCAATCTCGCGGGCCACTCATCTATCACTGCACGCACAGCTTCCAAAGGAATAGCTGCCGCTGATCGGATCAAATCCGCTTTCAGGGACTCGATATTACGGTGGGCTTTGGAGCAGGCCAACTGCTCTAGCAGGTCCCACAACTTGTAGTCTAAAGGATTGAGGTCCGGACTCCCTGAGGGCCAATCTTCCTCAGCAATGAACTCTGGCACATTGCTTTCCAGCCAGCGCTGCGTACTCTTAGCCTTGTGAGCGGGGGCGGAATCCTGCTGATAGACCCAGTGTTGGTTGGCAAACAATGTACCACTTAAAGGCTTGACGATAGGATCCAGTATGTCGCTCTGATAGTTTGCCGCTTTTGTTTTCACGCCCTGTTTACAGAAATGGAGCTGAGTGACCCCTTCGTAGGACACCCCCCACCAAACCATGACTGACGCAGGGTGGTGGCCTCTCTCAACTCTCGGAATGATCTCCGAAGCTTCCTGTGAACTCCTTGCATACACTTTGTCATTTTGTCGGTTGAATTTTTCTTCTATGGTGAAGATTTTCTCATCCGTGAACAAAATCTTTCGGAATCCCCCAGCTGCGTACCTCTCCAAGAGCTTCTTGGATCTTGTCGCCCTGATGTGTCGCAAGGTGGCCGTAAGTCGCTGGCCCGTACGTCTCCGGTAAGCCCCTAGCCCTAGGTCTTGTTTAATGATGCGCGACATCGTCCGGACAGGAATCTTCATTTCCCTGGATAGGATCTTCTGCTTCCGGAGTGGATTCCTTTGAATCCTGGCTTTTACGGCTTTGATGGATGCTGGAGTCCTTACTTGACGAGGTCTTCCGCTTCTTGGCCTGTCATCAACAGAGGACGTCTCATTGTACCGCTGAATGGTCCTAGACACAAATTTACGCGATATTTGAAGGCCGCGTAAGAGTTCAAATATCTGACTAGCACTGTGATTACACTTATGTAAAGCTATCACTGCAATACGGTTCTCTGCCTTGCCCCACTCCATCGTTATGCTTCGAGAGATCAATACAAACTGAGGTATATGTAATTACCCGAAAAGCGCTTAATCAACTGACACCACAATGTAAACAATCGGACAAGTATTAACAGGTCTACACTTGTTTGAAAACGAGGGACAGAACTTATGGCATGACTACGTATGAAGCTAATTTTTCTTGTTTAGCTCCAATGGGTAGTATTTTTTTGTATTTCTCCGCAAAAACTGATCCTGTTTTGCTTTAGACTACTGAAAGCTAATAATATTAAGACATAATAATGCCTGCTCGTGACAATAATTTTGAAGGCTATTTATCTCTGCTTTTTTCTTCCTAGTTAAAATATTACGGAATTTAAATTATCATACATACCTTTTTTTACCTTGTTACGCCTATTAAGAGCCCCGAAAATGGTTCTTTTTGCATGCATAATGAGGCTTTATTACACTATTCTCAAGTAAAGTATGGTACCTAATATGTTTTCAATGAGAGAAATTCCAGGGATGTAGAGAGAATCTTATTTTTTTTTTTTTGGCCTATTGGGAAAAAATTAGGGCGGGGGCAGTCACATTATAGAATTTCATAGCTACTCAAATAACAAAATTTAGGGCTGCATCCGGGGGATGGACAATGAAGCCAGGTTCTAAACGTTGACTAATATTGCGCTTAGAATGACTACGATCTCGGCAGTAAGCTGGCCAGCTTCGATGTCACTATTTTCAGTACTGCTTCCACTGGTTTCATACGAATCAGATTCGGATGTTTCTGTTATTGCGGGACTTTCAAGATTTGCCCGTTCACTTTCCACTTGCAAACGTTTTTTGGCCGCTCTGAAATCTGTTTAGCAAGCTCAGGAATTCTTATTGGCGATACAGCAACATCCATTACTTTCCGTTTTTGCGATATTTGAACTGACTTGCTTCTAAAATGTTCCTGTTTGGTTTGGCATGCCTGTGACTGAACTTCTACTGTTAAGGGTTCAGGCAGTTCATCATGCTTCTCCTCAATAACTTCCACGCCTTCAGGATCGGACTTTTCGGTTGAGGGTCCCGCCCGGCGTGCCGCCGCTGGCTGCAAATATTTGGCGATGTCTTTCTGCCTTGCCCGTTTTTCGCTGAACACTCGTTTTGTAGAGATTAATTGTCTACCCTGTTGACATGCAAATTTATGAGGTGCCATATTAGGAGTCATCCGGGCTCGAACGGTACTTATGATGTGGATATTAAAGTCTCTATTTTTACTGGCCGTCTTCTTTATCTATTCGATCTCTACGCTCCGCTACGTACAGTACGTGTCACAAAACCTGCTGCGCCCTGGCTCACTCCTAACTTGAAAATGATTTTTCAACTCAGAGATGAGGCATTCGCTGCCTATCAGCATAACAGATCTGATCAGAATTGGGCCAGCTACAAAGATTTGAGAAATTATGCCCTTGCATCGCTTAGAAGAGAGAAAAAAGTATATTTTTTCACGTTTCCGGAATCTTAACTCTAGTTAAGTCTAGAAAACACCTGAGGAGGATGAATGTGGTAGCCCAGAAACATGTTGCTATACCTCCCAGTCTCCTTGAGCCTAACATTTTAAATAATTATTTTCTTTCAATTCTCCAGACAGCTGCAGCTGATACAAATTTGATTGATAGTGTCTCTAACTCTTATAGCGATAGACGTCATACACCGGATGCACCTCTGTTTGCTCCTTACTCAGCAAGACATCGTCAATATAATCTCTCACATTAAGTCTACGGCATGTGGCTCTAATGGTCTAACTTTAAATATGGTTTGCTTATGTTTGCCTGATACCATAGACCATATAACTCACATTATTAATGTCTGTCTCGAAACAGGTTACTTTCCTGCCAGTTGGAAAAATGGTATTATTATTCCAATAGCTAAAACTAATCATCCAGAACAACATTCGGATCTCAGGCCAATTACCTTATTATGCTTTCTATCAAAAATACTCGAAAGAGCTGTCTACTCACAACTAGTGGAGTTTTTCGAACAAAACCACTTATTTCCTCTACATCAGTCAGGTTTCAGAGCTGGTTACAGCACTACTTCGTCTTTATTACATCTTACTGATTCCATCATTCACAATTTAGATAATCACATCAACACCGTCTTGGTACTGTTAGATTTCTCGAAAGCCTTTGATATGGTCAATCACCAGATACTACTGAGTAAGTTATCTCATTATGGAATGTCAGATATAGTTCTAAGGTTCTTTGAGTCATACTTGCTAAATCGTCAACAAACAGTGAAAACTGATCAGGGAATTTCCTCCTCTGAGCCAGTTCCTTCAGGAGTTCCTCAGGGCTCAGTATTAGGTCCCTTACTATATCTGATTTATACGATCGATCTGCAAGACTGTTTAGTCCACTGTAGTATGCAAAGTTATGCAGATGATACTCAGTTAGTGTTTGGTTTCGATCCATCAAAGGTTGATGAAGTTTCTTTTAAAGTTAATTTAGATTTGGCTAACATCGGTGATTACTGTAACAAACACTGCTTGAAGATCAATCCTAATAAAACTACTGCAATGTTGTACTGTTCGAAGAACTCCTACCGTGAAATGAAGCAGAGGATTTGTGTTTTTTTGGATGAGACACTCATCCCTTTTGTGGATTACGCCAAGAATCTCGGTGTTACCCTTGACTTAAATATGAGATTCGATCGGCATGTCTCTTTCTTATCTAGAGTAACGTATTTTAAAACCCGAAAAAAGCTTGCTGAAAGTCTTGTGTTGTCTGTCATTTCTTACTCTCTTGTTCTGTATTACCCATGTTTAGACTACATCCACAAAAGGAAACTCCAGAAAATTCAGAACAGCTGTTGTAGGTTTATTTTTGGATTGCGCAAGTTTAGTCGCGTCTCAGATAAAATCAAAGAACTCAACTGGTTGCGAATTGATAAGTTATTTTTATATCTTTTGACCGTCTTCACGCATAAAGTTCTATTATCTAACAGGCCAGCTTACCTCGCTAGCAAATTAGTTCACCGAGGTAGTTTTGTTACCAGAGCTCTTAGATTTAATGCTAATTTTAACATGCCTCCTCACAATACCTCGGTCTTTGAAAGAAGTTACACCTATAATGCTGTCAAGCATTACAATGCAGTCAACAGTGGCTAACGATCCAAACAGGTTGTTTCTTTTAAGAAATTAATGAAAAGTCAGCTGCTGGAGTCCATTTGGTTCAGTTTTTCTTGTGTTCATGTGATTTTTTTTTGTTTGACTATTTTCTACTATTTTTGTTTCAAATTTAGAACTCTCGCAGTGCTATCTGCATTTATCTTGTGCAATCATTGTTGTCATTCTTATGAATTGTTTTTTTTTTTTGGTATGTTATTATTTTGTTTATGTGTGTAAGTATTCTTTTTTCCTGTTGTGGGGTTGAGTGTAAGAGTAGCCGTCTGGCTAAACTTCGCCTCACTGCAGTTAATAAAGGCATTATTATTATTATCTTGTATTGTAGATAGTTTTCCATACCTTTTTCCAGGTCAAAATGATCTTCGCAGCAGTACATGGTCGACGTGGAAGAAACTGATTCTACATCCCGTCGAGCTGCGTCAAACTACTTTTTACGTTGTGCGGCAGCTTTTGGAACACTCACAAAAATTTTTGGTGGTGTACTTCACGTACTTGTACATTTTGGCACAAAACACCACTTTCTGTTCGACATTCAACACCGTCAAAGTTCAGAGAATTTAACAATAATCTATCGTACCAGCTCTAACTAAAACCGATTACTGGTGAGGTGTGTCTGGCTACTGACGTCATGCGGTCTAGTCTCGCGCACAGGTATGTTTTCCAGCCTCGCGCCGATCCTTGATTTTGAAATGCTTTTACTCGACGTAAATATCAATATTTTTTGCTCAATTTTTTTTATTGTTTCTTTAATAACAAAATCTCTCGATTTGCGTAAAAATAAAAAAATGGCAAACCTTCCTATTGCATGACGTAAACTAGGACGTCCCCTGAGGATCGCTGGTGCCGGAAACCCTACTGCCTGTCGCCAACCAAGCCATGACGTTCGAGGTAGTCCAGAATCTCGCGATTTATGCATCTCTCCATCACCTCACTTCAAACAGAAAGCAGAGCTATAAGCATTACCTTGTGCCTAACTTTTATATCGTGCTGGTCTTTGGCATTGCGAACCGCTGCGTTAAATTTGTTCCTGGACTCGACGTGGGCTAGTCTTGTCTACAGTGGGGTTTTGGAAGAAGGTTCTGTGTGCCTTGATCTTCTGCTGATGAGCACTGATGCACGATTTGTTGAACTCGGTTTAGGCACTTTCACTGTATAAGGGATGTATTCCTCCATCTCAACGTGAATAATTTCTGTTATCGATCCGCGCCAGTGTAAAAAACGTGGAGAAGTCTCTGAGCCCCTCCCACTAGGCATGTCCGTAATGCCAAATTTCGCGGCCTGAGCAAGTTTCTGCTGCCACAGCGGCTTATGACCGAAACCTCGCATCCACAACACCGACGTCTGAGTTACCCAGGGGGCACAGGACAGTGGTGCTGTAAGGGACACGATGCGTGAAAGTGCGAAAGAGATCCAGCAGGCTACCGGCGTGTGACGAAACGCGGGCGAAAAAGTAGGGCTCGTCACCAGCTGGTCAGTCCTTGGGAAATAGCAAACGCTTCAACTGCACGACCAGCTGCATCGATCTAGTTTGAGTCCAACCAGGTCTCATTATGGGCATTGCAATCACCGAAAAGAACTATCTCTAAAGCGGTGTGATTGATGTTCAGGAAATGGATCTTGACAGCGAAGTATTCAATTGGGTCATCCCAATGTCAGTGCACCTTATAATTTTTCGCCAAGAAAAGCATGGCGAAATGATTAGATTGCAAGTAGTGATGAACAGCATCTGTGTTGCTGTTAATCTCGTACATGTTCGTGAAACAAATTTTATCATCGATGTTGTTCCCCGAGTCCACCCTCCGGGTTTACGTCCGGAATTCTTAGTACTCCGCGGATCTATCATCTTTAATTTCTTTGTCGGGGAAGATAACCGACTGCGTAGCTTAGGTATGGAAACATGCTGACATTCTTAAGATACCTTGGAAAAAGGGAGCAGGTGGAACCGCCTCAGTCGACTGGTCCTAATAGACCTAAAGTGGTCCGTTGGCCTTCTACATTAAATGCACAACAAAGTATATCCTACATAATTGATAATTGGTGGAAAAAGTCTACATACATTAGAATATACTGGCATGAGCACCAAACTACCACCGTTGGGTATTTTCTTAATAATCTTGCGAAGTTCATTTCACAACACTACATCCACTCGATGGTATTGACCACGCCCGCATTTGAGGAAATAAAACAATTCTTCCAATACTTACTTTTATTAGAAGACAAACATTTCGTTCAAGATCTCATAAAATTATATACTAACAGTATAAATATATAAATTCGCTAACAACGATATGGTTCCATCACAAATTCCCAAATAACCAACTGGCAGGATCCTTAAAAATACATGAGCCTAAAAATAATGATGGTATTACAAAATTTATTTTTTCTTTCCTTCTTTTTCCTTCTGTTGTCTTCTTTGGTTTGCTATGTAGATCGTCCAGAAGAATCCCATCAGGTTAATGATTAAAACGCGCAACTGAAAATTTTAATTATCATTTAAAAATCATTTGTTCATTTAGCTGGCCTAGAGTGGGCATTCAAGGAACATAATAGTTTATGTATCAAGGGCGTGAAGTGAGCCGTTATGGCCCGAAGTGTGAAATTAGAGTCCAAAGCACCGCAGGCACAAGGCCAAGGGACGTACTAGATATACACGGTGTCCCATTCATGTGTGGACGGAATATTACACATAATCAAATACATTTTGGGAAAATCTAATTATGGGATGTTATACACGACATTTAAGGGCATATTTCTGAAATATTGCCATTATACAAGGTGTCCCAATATCGACCTACATATCAAAGTTGTGATTTTTCAAATGGAATGCCTCAAATTTTATTGCATATTTGGATAAACCAGTTCATAAGAAGAAAATTCATATAACTTACTATGGGGTTTTGGTAATTACCTACTGAGATATAAGGTGTTTTGTCTAGAAAAACCCCCCACTTCGGCAACCCCTCAGTCCGCCATTTTGAAATTTGGAGTGCTGAATTTTGTATCAAAAAAAAACTTACACACCTCAGTTTTTATCTTATTTGTTACTTTTTCGAATTTTAATTTTTGCTCATACAGGGTGGTCAAAAACGCAAATTGTTGTTTTTCTCAAAAAATTCAAATGCATCACCCTCTATATTTGTGCAAGTTTGGATTCAATTTTTTATAAGATTTTTTTTTGATACCAGACACAAGAGTTTTTACGGCTATTTTTTCGGTTATTAGCACGTCTTTTATGGAACGGCTTAATTCCCTAAAATATCGCATCATCCTTGGAAACAAATAAATTGTTGATTAGTTACAAACTGTCAAAATTAGCTTTTTCTAAAGAAGAAATGGTGAATACGGTTGTTCGTTCTGGGCGAATAGATTTTCCCAAAATGTATTTGTTTATGAGTAATATTCCGTCCACACATGGATGGGCCACCCTCTATACAAAATTGCTTCTACGACCGGCTGAAAAAATTTGGGTCGTTCCTACATAGAATTAACTATTACCACCGATAGTTGCGCCTTCGCCGTGTATGTACAATATAGTGTGATTTACTCATGACGGGCGGTAAAGTAAAGAACGCAATGGGCTGAGAAGTGACACTTAACGCCGAAAGAACCTGTTCATAAAGTAGACTTTTCCGTCCGGTAGCAGATCAACGCTTATAACGCCCGAGATACAAATTTTATCAATGCTCGGCTCTCTAGTAAATTAGAAACTTAAAGCAGCCTTTGTATGAATGAATGAAGTAGATAAGGAGGATACGTGAAAACAGTGTCAGGTGTTAAACAAAGTAAGTTATCGCAATATTTAAAATTAAATCATTTTTCCCTTTAATAATAATTCGTTAACCATAAGTTCTATTTTTTATATGGGATGATAAGGAAATGAACCAAGGCCGAATTTACGTCAGTGAGTCAAACAGCTACTTTAGGGCACTAAATTTTGGTATAACTGTAAAAAAACCATGATGATGTGGATTCAAAATTGAGATTGAAGTGGATCCTAGTACCAAATTAACCTCATATTCGAAATCAATGCACCTGGTTTATTTACTCAGGAAACAAGATCTCTATCAGACCACAGTATTATAGAGAGATTTCTGAAAACTATCACATTGTTCCATAAGAAGCCTCAATATGTAGAAATTTTCCATTTTCATCTCTTGTTGTTAGAAACAATTACTTGGTATACCTAGGTAACATCAGACAATGGATTCTAATATGACCATATTGCCCAAATTACGAAGTGTCATTGTGCAGAATTTGAAGTAGAAAACTGAATATAGTTGGGTGCTATACTCAATACAACTTTCATTTTTTGTTTATTACTGAGGACCCCAATTATTGTATATAATTTAAACAAACTTACCATAGGTGGCACAAAACTCAAATTGATCAGATGAATAATAGTAAGGTACTTCCAACTGGTGGTGAGCACTGGCAAATAAAGATGACGCAGCTGTTCTAGGGCCCCATCATGGTCCTTACCTTCTAACCTAGCCAATGCATACAATGTGAATGCTTGGTACAGTGGTGAATATACCAAACGTTCTAGTAGCAGTTTTTTGGCAATGGGAAATGATGCATCTTCAGGTACTGCCCAGTCTAAGAAGTTGTAGAAATAGTGGGGAATGGTACCTCCTACTACAAGTCCATATATTCCATATGCTAGGAGACTGTGAAAGTCTAACGCTTTGCTGCCACTTATTTTTTGAGATGCTAAGTTTCCTGTTGTGGCTATTATGGCACTGAAAAAAAAGACTAACTTGGGGACAGACTTTTGACGTACCTAGACAATTTTTTGATGATAACATACTCAAAAATTGCTTCCTTCTGGGGAAATCTTTGTGTGAAATTTTCGTAGACTTTTTTGTCCAGTAGTTATGTGTCAACATTACATCAAAATCTGGGTAGCGCTTTCCAAGTTGTAGAGAGGCCAAGGATTAGCAGACAGACTGTGATTTTAAATATGCAAAGTCAAGGTGTATTCAAAATTGTTTCAATTAAAATACTTCCTCGCCAACAGGCGTGGGAAGTAAAAAGTGGTCTTTTGACCTAAAGGTGATTAATAAATTCTCTTAAAAATTTCTATACTGTCAAACATGCTTAGACTGTTTATAGATTTAAAAAATCAAAACTTATGAAAATACATAAATACACTGACCTGTGATCCTACTGTGGGGTCTGACTATAATAGTGACTTTTGAAGTGCGAAATATAGTAGGTACAGTAGTGCATTTTAAGATTCAATGCCCTGGGCCTCTTAAAGTTTGCCGCCCCATTAAGAAACAAAAACTTGTGATTGAGGTGGCTTGAGCCACCATTCGCATCCTGACACCCTGGGCTGTTACTCTTTTACCCCTGACCCCTGAGTAGGTAACATTAAATACTCAAGTTAATAGTTATCAAATATTTTCTGCTTACCATGTAATGGCTTTTGTCCTTACTGGATGTTCAAAAAGTTGACCGAAGTAAAAGCTCAAGGCACTGATCACTGGTTTTGATAAAGCCATTTGTGTTTGGAAAAATACGTCGGACGTGTTATGTTTATTTTAATATGCAACTCACTATTGAAGTGATATGACAGTTATCTGTTTTGTGATAATGAAATAAAAAGTTAAATGGAAATCATAAACGATTCCACATCAACAAGTGATAAAAACGGAATCAAAAGTACAAAAGTCAATATTCACAAGGTGGTCCACAAAAACATCGCTTATTTGAAGAGAAATTAATTCCTCAGAATAATTTGTGTCAACTGTATTCACTCTTTAATACAGTCTGGGATGTCTGTAAAATTGAAATTAATTAACGGCAATTATTTTATTCTCAAAGTTTCTTACTATTTTTACTAATAAATCAAAACAAACACGGTGGCACCCTGGGGTCCGGGTACAAATAAGGCAAATTTGATCCGTCAGTTGTCGCGCTGTTGCCAAGCTGAAACCAAAAAGTAAACATATGTGTAAAGCCCGCCAAAGACGTCGGTTAGTGGTGGGTCATTTTGACTCTGGCCCACACGATGTGGCGATACCTTACAACACATGGCTATTCGCCACATCGTGTGGGAGAACGCTGACGGATTTCATGGCACGTTCGGGCTCTTGTCGGTAAATTTGACCCGCGTCAAAGGACGTTACAACGTTGGAAGCATGGTTCGTTACGCTCCCACAACTATTCATAATAATGAATGTTCCGTAACCTAATATTTTGGACGTTTCGCAGGTGAGTTATGGCTGGTCTAAGAATATGTATTGTAGTAAATTATAAATTAACAAGTGCTTGCAGTTGTTTCATTATAATGTCCTGTTGCAATGCAAGACTAGTTGAGAGATATATTGACTTGCATGTCATAACTAACGAAAATGATTAAATATATGATAACTCTGAAAGTACTATCAGGATTTTGATGAAATTTTGACCCTAGGTTACTACTATGAGAATGATGAAAAAGCTCTGCAGTTTTTGAAAATCGGTACAATGGCAGCGGAGTTATCGTCTAAACATAAACAAAAAAGGGTCAAACTTTGTTTTTTGGCATTTCTGAGGCATCTGACAGACTTAGGCTTTGGTCGCTGAAAACATCTGAAATTATTTTTCGGCGCTCGAAGAAATTGTTTCCTCGTTCATTTTGTATAACTTTGCCTTCATTTGTAAAGGTTCATATGGGACACTGACACAGATAATAGATGTTGGCGCCTCCATGCGTCGAACGCCCGAAACTAAAAAGTTCATCCCATCGTGTAGGAGACACACTTGCCAATTGTGGGGTGTCGAACGTTGTACACAACGTTGTATACAACGATGGAAGCATCGTGTGGGACCTACATTACCCTATGTGACAATTTTAGTTAAGATTCTATGAGTCCGAAATAGAATCCTAATACTTTGAGGTCTTATTCTTAATATGCTACATTCACGTCACAGTTGTGAGTGACAGGAATTTAGTCAGACATACAATATAGAAGAAAAGTCATGAGATGTGAACGTCTTAGTTAACAATTATGGAAAGTAATAGGACGACTTTTTGTATCGAAAAGATTCAAGATTAACAACGCAAAAAAGGTTAGGTAATACAGAAGTAAGATGTAAAGTGTTTAATGGAAATGATTCATTCGGTCCTTATTCGGATTGGTCAATCAGCAAGGATTTGGGTGATGACATGGTAGGCTGGTAGTCACGTGTTTCCGAACTGTTGCGTCACGTAACCGTGCATCAATCCAACTCACAAAATAAACATTTTTCGCCGAAGTCGGAGGATTTATAAATTTTCAGAGTCGCAGTGAGAGTTCGTACGTCATATATAGCTGTGCAGACGTACTACGAGTCAACGACGTCTGTAATCGGATTTAGACAACGAATTCGAATACGGGCTTTAGAGGCAAATTCTATAAAGACTACATTTATGATGTGGCAACGTCGGCTCAAGGGTCAACCTTTTTTGACGTTTGCCGTTTTCCTAAACATAACCGCACATTCCGACTGTTCCAAGTTTCTTTTTTTACTTTAAACAAGTCTTAAAATTTTCTGTCATCTCTTTGTGTATTAGTTTGTATGATGGATTCGTCTCAAATTGTATTATCTGCATTGAGAAAAGATATAACGGAAAATATTTTACAGTTGAAAGCGATCATACAGGTATGTATTTATAGTATGTATGCAAGCAGTTTTCATTTAATTTGAATGCAGGTATGGTATTTTTTATACCAGGACCAGTCGTAGATCTAACAATATTCTTTATCTTTGATACAGGATATCAGTAGCTGTACAGGACCTTTGCCAGCATTAAATGCCCTGAATAGTGTTGGCCGCTCTAAAATCTCTTCTCTGAGAAAGTCCATTGACAGGTTTTCAGACGTAGCAAAAGATATAAAAGATAATGAACTGTTGAAAGAGCTTGCTCTGCAAAAAGAACAATTAGCCAGGTAGACAAAAATAAAACACTTAACATTTGAAAACATAAATATTGTTTCTATATTTTCAGTACAATGGACACATTTAAAAAAGTGAACTTAAAGGCTATGCTGTCTATTGAAAATGCTGCCAAAGAAGAGTTACTGAGACCTACAAAACCAACAGAATTGAGGCAGAGACAAGTAAATGCCAGGGATAAAGCATCTCTTGCCAAAACTAGCTCTAATGTTACTGACCAACTGCTCAATATTAGCAGGTAAACAACATTTAACTTGTAATATATTCTTCATCAGATCACAAATGCCTAACTATGGATATCTGTTTTATACTATTTGGCAACTCTTCAGCATCGTGAAGGCTTGGCCTTGGCAGCATCTAGTGGGCGTGGTGGTGACCCAGCTGATAATGTAGACTGGCATACAGTTCCAATAGATAGTTTGCTGTTTTCACTTTCCCATTGGTAAATTCTGGTAATAGATGGCAATTGTTGCTGTCTTATTCCAACATTTAACTTATCAGATTAGTAAAAGCAGGGAGGTGTTAGTAGTATATATGTGACTTTGTGCCATGCTGTGAGTGCCATCTAATGAAAGCAACACTGACTACCTCAATAAAAAATGCTTAGTGGTATCACTGTTCGAAATGTCAAGAGCATTATTGTTAATTTTCATGTGTCAGCAGTGTCAAAATATACTAGGATAATGGTTGTTTCCAAAAACAGAAATGTTAACGTTTTGTAGGTGTCTAGTTTGTATAAAAGGGGAGAAGTATCAGGCAAAACTTGTGCGAGATATTAAGATGATGTAGTGTTACTTCATGCATGGAGGTATTATGTGGAATGGGGGAGAAATTATAGTTTTATAACACTAAAAGGTATTTTTTTGATTGTGAATGCTGAGGCAGAACTAAGATGCACATGACTACTGTCCATCAGGTCTTGAGTGGCTAGGGTCTCTATATTACTGTTCCAGGGACCTCAGAGTAGAGAAAATTTGTACTCTTGTACTTCATACCCTTTCAAATGATCGCTAATGTGAGCACCAAGATTTTCCTGTCAGATCTGTATGATCTGCCTTTAGGTGACTCCCAACAACGTTTGTGCTTTGGGCCCAGGTTCCTTATGGTCAGAAAGAGTTTCCTATCGATGTAATCAATGGCTAATACAATATCAGAAGGGACAGAATGGGTCTGCAAATTGGTTGTCACTAATGCCTGTAGTTGGAAGTAATAGAGACAATGTCTGATACTGGTAGAGAGAAATGTTTAAGTGATAATACAGAAGAAGCATAATTGCAAGCACATAATAACATGAAATGATTGGATGTGTATAAAGTTTTAATAGAAATCTAGCATTTCTTATGTGTAACTGAAACCAAGTCAATTATGAAAAGGTGGTGTATAATAAATCGTCATGAGAACAGAGAGCGCGAGCGTGGTTCAATAGTGTCATTTCTTGTAAAGAACTTATCACAATTGATTATGGTGGCTTAATGGGAATCTCTTCAGATGGTATTTCCACACATGGCACTAGAAATTAATTAAGAATGTGTAGGGTACCGATAATCTCTGAGTAAAAGAATAGGTTTAATTGTAGCATAACTGTGATCTGACACTTTATCTTATATGGAGGTAATTACTGTTTAAAGTGAACCTGATAATTGTTATCGCGGCGCTAAAAACACCACTTTTTTCGAATATGTTTAACATGTTACCAAGCTATTTTTACTTGCTTGGTGAGTAAATACTTAGTGTAATATTTTCAAAATAAATAAATATTTGATGTAAAGGACCCTTGCTGAGACGACACAGAGAAGTGCATTAACCCTGGACACGCTGACCGCCTCTTCGGACAACGTGTTGGGGACAGAAGAAGAATTAAAGGTGACTTCCGGTGCGATCGGCCAATCAGGAAAGCTGCTTGCCAAATATGGTCGTCGGGAGTTCACAGACAAGGTGTTGGTTTTTTTCGCGTTCATATTTTTTTTGGCATGTGTTTTGTATATTATGCAGAAGCGGCTATTTTGATGAATGTATGCATGTTACGGAGAGTTAAGTTCAAAAATATACAACAGTATCTCTAAGACGTCAAGTATGTTGACAAAAATAATGTGAATTAAGAGGACTCAGATTTCCTCATCATGGAACATGATGAATTTCTACACCACTCATTGAGTATATACATACTATGAATGTTATCTAGTTATAGGTTCATACAAAAATCCAAACAAATTAATACTGCCCAGCTAAGTATTTAACTGGACTGCTCCACTTAACCAGTCAGGACTGTCAAAAGATCTTATAGGAAATAATCTTATTTAGATCTGTGGTAGCCACTTTCTAACATTCTTACCCAGTGTGAATTTTTCATTTTATTTTCAGCATTCTACATTATATAGTCCTGCAAATATGCAAATGATAATTTATTCAATTGGGGCACTCTCCTAACTGTGATAATATCTAAAATTAAGTATAGTACAATTGTCTATGATTCTATGGAAAGATAAGAATAAATATATAAATCAGATAAATAATTTACATAATTGTCTATTCTGATTTGTATTAGAAATATTCTTTATTCACATGGTTTTCATCAGAATACATGATTATTATTTTGTTAATTTTATATGGGAATGGAATTTTGTTTACTGATTTTTATAAAAATATATATCAAATCACTGTAGTGTAACTTATTTTATTTTTCAGCAACCCATATACTATAGTTCTACAATGTACAATGTGCTAATATGAGCCCCTGGTTTTGCCTGAGGAGTAAAATCTCGTATCTGATACATTACCCCTTTTCTTAAGTAACGAGTTGTGAGTGCTTTTTGCTTGACAAAATATCCCCGAAAACTACATTGCTAGATCTGAATTGTGAAAATTCAAGCAATCAGACTGCAATAAGTTGAAAGAATGCAGAATCAATTGTGCTATCAAGTCAAATCTAAGAACACCTCAAATGTCAAAATCCATCTAGCTGGTTGGCCTGTAGCCCGTGAATTAGAAACCTCAAAGTTGAAGTTTTTGTTTAAAATCTGCCATTGTTATTTTATAAAATTTTAGTGTACCCAGTGTTGCTCGCACTGTCAGTATAAATCTAAAGACACTAACACATGTCCAAACTCCATCAAGCTGTAGGCTCTTAAATAGGAACTTCAAGGTTGTTATTTACGACTTGGATAACGACCTTGATAAGGAAGAATACATTCAAAGATTCGTTGGGAGATATTTCAGAACCAACGGTGGCTCAAGTAACAGTGTAGAACACGGTAGAACCCGTTTTAAAAGTCCCGCATTTTACTCGTGCGGAATTTCATGGTCATATCAAATACCTTGAGGAGCGCAAGGCACCGGGTGGGGATCAAATCACCAACAAAGCACTGAAACTTTTGTTGCCGAATGCTTTGACACATCTGACGATAATTAATGCGATTCTTAGGCTCCAATATTTTCCAAGAGACTGGAAAATCGCTGAAGTTGCGATGATCCCGAAAAAGGCGGAATCAATTATTCCCCATAAGTCTATTGTCTTCTCCGTCTAAACTGGCCAAAAACACACTCACCTAGATAAAACTGTTTTGATCTTCAAGCAATTCTCGACATACCATTTAGATTTAGCGCCGAGCACATCAGTACAGAGCAACATGCAATGAGACGTGTGGAGACGATAACCTCTGGATTCACTAATAATCAAAGTAGTGGAGCTGTTTCAAAGGCTTTCGACAAGGTGTGACAGTGGGGCTGCTTTATAAATGGATCAATAATTATTTCCCTTTTGACCGTCAAAATTGCTTAAATCCTTGGAAGGAAGAAAGTTCTGGATCAAAATTGATACGTGTTCTATGTATCATTGTATCAGGGCAGGCGTCCTCAAGGGCTGGGGCATATTCTTGATATACTCCTAATATCCCTAGTCCCACTCACTGCGTGGTACTTCTTTATCGCAGTGGCTCATCAAAATTAATTACTCCTAGACACTTACTTTAAAAGAAAAGGCATTGTGCTCCAGAACATATCTTTTAATGATGTTCCTGTCCCATGGGAATACAACGGCGGAATATTTAGGCCTCGCATGATATAAAACTATTATTTGGAAAATTCGTATTCAAAATTTGTTTAAACATGCATTCATAACTTTCCCGCCGTTGTATCCGCTTCTGAACTGAAATTCAAAACTACGTGAATAAAAGTGGGCTTTACTTCGGGTAAGTACTTAAACATAAAATACTTAGTCTGGCTCCCTAAATTATAAATCTTAAGCAACTTTCGGAAACAAAACACAAATTTCCCTCTTAATAATAATTAATTATTTTCACCATTTTCTCTCTCGTTTCCCTCTCTCTGTTCTACCTACTTAATGAAAAATTCCGCTGGCTGGGCTCAGGAAGATTTTGAAGAAATAAACATCATTCTGCCAGACAAGAGCCAAGGTCCTGCGCTCAAATATCAAACGATGGGGCGAGGTTGTTATTTTATTGAATTGAAGAGGATTCAGTATTAAATCTCCGGAATTCCTCCTCTTAACATGAATTATGGGACAGTTAATACGCTCCGCCTTGAATGTTGCTATATGGGTGCCCATTCATGTGTTTCTTTCAAAGGAAAAGATAACAACGAAACATTATCGTCGCGTCCTAAAGTGAATATTACTGAAGAGGGCCTAACGTTTTGAAATCCAATCGGACTATTTCTGGTAGCAATGCACAGGACGTGTATAGTCGACCTACTTGATGCCATTTCTCAAAATTATCGTCCAATGAAAAGTGAGAGAGTCAAATTGAGGCCTCGGAAGAGTCGAGCGTCTAATTGAAAAAAAATATGTCAAAACTTCCAAAATTGCATTTACAGTAACCTATTTTCCAACATTTAATTGGAAACCAAATGGATTTTTAAAAGAATCGTTGACACTCCCCGATTTCGTGATTACAATACTAAGTTGAGCTATATGCATATAAGGAGCAAAAATGAAACAAATGCAAGAATAAATATACTTTTTATTTAGTGTATATTACAAATATTATAAAAATACTTTAAGAATACGGTTAAGTTGTACTTATAAATAGAGACACCTATACAGGACGTCTTGGACCAAACACGCAGGAATTAGTAGTTTTAAAAAATTAAATGTATCGACAAACAATAGAATTTTATTCCTTAATTTCATAACGTGATATAACTTTTAGGCGGTATATCCTAGAAAGAAAATGTAAGTTTTCAACAAATAATTTGAGTTTCAGTGATGTTTGCCTTTATCTAGTTTACAAAACATCCCAAATTTAGCAAAATCAGACAATCATTACTAATGTCTTCGTCATTTTAGAAACCCTGCATATCTCTTTGAGTAGTTTAGAGCTGCTATGTGTATCTGTATATATTTACAAAAATAACTATACTTACACATTATATGTATAAAAAAAAAACAACAAAAATATATGATATATAACAGCGTTATTTATATTCATTAATATATAAAAATTAGACACACTTTACGAAAACAAAAAATGGATGTACTTGTATAATGTGATGTGTAAAATTCCATAAAACAATAAATATATATCTACCTAACATCATTCTTTGAATAAATACATACGTAGTATGACAAATTATTAATAGCACAATGTTCGAATATTAGAATATTCTATTTTTTATGTGTATATTCTATGATAAAGCGTGTATAATCATAGACAGCTATGAGTAACCTCATCGGGACTGGCGAGCCATTGCATGAGTGTTAAATCGTCACTTACACGCGATTTTATCCTTGATGTGTGGCACACGGGCAGTTACGTAGCTCGATACTATAACAGTGTATCAACTCGAATCTGAAGACTGCGTATGAGTGTTGACATTGGTGTTCATGCAATGGCTCGCCAGTTGTCGATCCTTTCGACATCCGCATATGAGTAGACAGAGCTTCGGTGTTCATAGATCATCAATGTTGTTCTATACGCTCTACGTCCCTTAGGCAAAGCCATCCGTCCTGCCGGAGGGACAAGGTCGGATCGACTTCGACCAGCCGCCGCTACCAACCCGTCTTCGCTCTCTAATGATCACAAGAACATTCACTGTCAAAAGCACTGATTCAGCAGCCCACAACCCTCACGGTCATCAATGTTCAATTGCAGAGAACTAGAAATATGGCCGATATCGTTAGTTTTAAATATCACTGTGATAACTGGTACTGTTACTTTTTGATATCGGTGTCTTAAACTTTTGATGTCAGCACGACGTCGATGCGATGATGATTACACTGATATCCTGAGCAAAATACCGCGATGAAATCACATGGAGCCAACTACCAAAGCCTATAAGACACACGGTATTGATTGCAGGCCATAGTAGTCTTACTGTGGTATACGTTATACGATTCTCGACCATATGCATCTCATGCACATTCAAACGTGAACGGCGTGACCCCATGATCCGCCGTTGCCGTGAAACCAAGTTCCCGAAGTCGTGATCGAGTCACACTTTTTTACGGTATTTGATAACAGTCGTGATTTAGAAATATTAGTTACTAAATTACAGTTCCTGAAATATCTGCCACCACTACGGATAGCTCCTCGCACTTCAATCGCAGCAACCTCCCTCCCGAGACGAACGCCTTCCTCCACATGAATCCTGTGACTCCCCTCTCTAACACAAAGGCTGGATCCGCCCTTGCTATTAAAGGAAATAATATTCGGCTTTGATGGCTAAATGTCCCGCCAAATACAGTGTCAACTCCGGCTTTTGTATTTTAGAGAAATCCATATACGACGGACGTAGTAATGTGTACGAGAGAGAAGCGTCCATTACGTATGTTAGAAAGAGATAGAAGCACCACGTTGCCTAGCAACTCAAGTGACGCAGTTGCGGCTTGCCGCGTTTCCATCGGAGCGCTCTTTCTAACATACTAAGATTAACGTGTTACCCACAACTCAAATGATTTAATTTTATACAAATGAATAAATCTCATTAATATAATATTTGACCATTTGCTCTGTACATTGTACACTATTTTTCCGTTAATGTGAAGTCAGCCTTAGTTATTTCATTTTGCTTGAGGATTTCGAATCCACCGTTTGTCCTCATAAACCTGCAATTACAGAGACATTTATATTAGTTTGTGGAGTACTGGGGAATCAGGCGGCCGGAAATTAGTCTAGACTGGTATTTACTGGTATATGCATAGGTCTCGAGACTAGGCTGGGTGTTCTGTTGGTAGGCATGGGTAAAGCGAACTTTTATAGTGAAGTATACTCATAAGTTATATCATAAGGGCATCTAATTTTTCCGAAAAAATTCGAAAAAAACCGTTTCTAGATTTTTTCGCACGAAAAAATTAGATGCCCGAATGTTATTTGACAAGACTATTTCATAAGTAACAGATTATTCTGCATATTTTAAAAACATTACAATATTTGTTGACATTAAAATCAGAAAAATTTATCGTCGTTTTCTGGTATCCTAGGAGACCATAATTACTTGTAATCAAAGGTATTATAATTTTTGGTGACAACAGCTGTGAAGTTTTGCCGCGGGTAAACTCTAAAAAGGTGCTGTCATACAATTTTTCCATCTCGAAACCATTTGTAATTCAATATTGCGCGTTTGTGATTGGTAGAAATTAAGACGAGGGAAATAGTCATTAGAATAGTGGAACATCCTGACCATCAGAAGTCAGATGAGTTCGATACATCAAGGGTAAGTGGTAAAGGCCAATCAGCTTTACCGATTTATTTTTATTATCGAAGTAAAAAAAACACTCTTCAGATTCAGTGTTTGAAGACTATTTCTTTGAAATGTCGGCTGTTACTGCGGTAAATGTGAACCATTCTTGAAGTTCATTTTTTGATGACGCACTCGAGCATTTTAACTTGTACGTAAAGACCTTTACCGCGCTGCCTGAATAAAAATGCACGGACGCTTTTGAAAATTGGAATATCAAAATGAGCTACGTCACCCGCAATGGTGGTCAACATTTGAAGGAATCATTTTCTAAAAAAAGGAATGTCATGCATGCTTCTTTTGTCTGTTAATAAATATAACACGACACATATGTCAGTATATTTATGGTTTTGAAAAAAGGACCTCCAAAATTAGTCACCCACTAGAACAATATTAGTTTATTTCAGATAACATTAGCGATTCACTAATTGATTTGATTTTCAAGTTACTTGACTTGAAATCAAGTTTAAATCAAGTACATATTCGATATTAGCAATGTGAATCAAGTCAAGTAGTTTTTACACGAGGTACTTGAACATTCATGTAGTCTTGATATTACTTGATGATTCTTGCAATATAATTACCAGGAGATTATAAATACATAACGGAAGGACTTTGTGACAAGTTACATAGAAAACAATACATATTGAACAAAATATTGTCTTCATCGTATAACAAATAAAGGAACGATAAAACTGTAAACTCAAATAAAAAACATTCCTTCATCAGCTGATACAAAAAATTGAAAAATTCTTAATTATCGTTCCATTCGCTAACTACGAGTTAAGACACATGAGTGTCCTAACTCTGTTGCGCGGTTCCGTAATGGTCAGTGCGGCTTTAGAAAATTCCCTTTTAATGGACGCTGATATTACAGGGGTCGTTAAAAATTCTCTTGCCATTAGTACTTTAATATACGAGTATTTTCATGCCTTTTCCACCACTTGTGATTAATTGCATTAAAATACAAAATACGGTTCATCGGCCTTTAGTAGAACAAAAATATAATTTGCCATGAAGTATTAAGTACTTTGAAAATAGTTGATCTCAAGTCAAGTAGAACAATAAAAAATAAAATCAAAGTCAAGCATTAAAGTTTCAAGTAATTTTATTGTCAAGTCGGTTCTACAAATATCAAGCTACTTGACTTGATGAATCCCTAGATATCAGTGAAGCAGTACTCTACAGTATTTTTAGAAGTCTATTACTAGATTGAATACATTCTGGTTATTTATATCTGGTATCATATGTATAACATTTTCTATCAATAGATATTTTGTCACTCACCTATAGTCTCTTGTTGAATTTCCACTTTATAAGTAGGATTATCATACGCGGACTGGCTGACTCGAGTTCCATTTGTAGGTGGTGTGATCGCAGCTTTATTCTGATTGTGCCTCCTTAACAAAATCATAAGCAGCACTAATGTGCTGAATATAGCTAGAGTCGCTAAGATAGCTACAATCACCAAGGGAGCATAATAGTCCCCTGATTTTGAGCTGCTTGATCCCGCGTCTGCTCTAGATAGTTTATCTGGAAGTACAGATTCTCTTAAAGATGTAATAGAATTAACAAGTAACGACTTTCAATCCAAATTTTACTAACAGGAGGTACTACTATTATCTTCAGCGAAAGAACGCAAGAGGGTAAAGGGTCACGGTTGCCGCAAAAACCGGTAGATTTGATGGTGTCTCTCTCAACAAAAGCCTCTTAGTGACATGTCTGAGCAAAAGCGCTAAATTGTCAGCGGTAGCGTTAGACGGCTATAGCTTTTGGCTGTGTTTTGTCACATGCTCACAAGATTTGCGCTCTCAATATATTTTTCTGATACCACATCGTACGTATCAAGTATATTCTGATTTGTGGTGCGAAAATAGATGTCAAACGTCACCTACTAATGGTTTCTCAAGCTGGTTTCATCCTCATCCCATACTATGGAGATGACAAGAGGACACTTACGTCTTCTGGCTCGATGTTCTGCGATATGCACAGAAGATGTCGTACCACCAATTCACGGTCGATCCATCAAGAAGTCGGAACAGCGCTGTTTCGCACTCATTAGAAACTCGTCAGTGCAGTGTAGGTCTAGTTTTCGAACCAGATGAACGGGAAGCACCTACGTCGTCTACTTGCGCACATAATTTAGAGTTCTAGAGGCTAGATCGATTTCGCACTATCGAGTAGCTAATCAGCACGAAACAGAGCTGTTTGCGGTTGGTCATGGTTACAGTGGCGGAAAGCAAACTTGTCCTTTTCAGCCATATTATGGTTTTCCGCGTTTTTTTTTCAAATTGAAACAACTTTCCACAAACGCAACCGAACATGAAAAGTCTTAACCAAATATTTCTGCACAAAGTTGATACTTGACAGCTATGCACATGCGCTTTTCAATGTGCTGAAAATCCTGAATCTGTTGAACTGAATATGGCGTTAGCCGTTTCCAAAAGTTGCTGAAACAGCGGTGTTGTCTAACGCCTAAAATGAAAATACATGGTAAGCCATTCACTAAGCTTTCTTGGTAATAGACGCAAGAATTTATTTTGGGCAGAGGAAAGCTTTTATAGCTACTTTCAGGCAGAAAAGTTCGACAGTATTATCCTGTCGGCCTTTATTCCTGACCATCCATCTTGCATATACATACATTCATAGCTATGTACATGTACAGCCGAGCAAGTAGGAACCCACTATTGTTTTTTCTGTCAATGTTTGTCCTCTTGTACCTTGCTCAGCACCATTCGCCTCACTGCTGTTGGAATATCAACCCAATCGCCCTCGCTTACAAGCGTGGCAGAATTGTCATCAGTGAGCCTCTCGTCGAGCGTCAATTCCAGCTGTCTTTGGTAATCAACCCATCTACCACATTCGAGAGGATGATTCTGAGTATCCTCTCCTTCGTTGCCCTCTCTGTTTCCTACCCCCTTCAAATAGCTGTCGAAACAACCATGTCCTTAGAGGAACTATGCACTATAGTTAATGTATCTGCACTGCTCCTTTATCAGCCCAAGTTTTGATATTCTGGGATGAGCCTTCTACTCCATTCACCATGACCTGTTTCATCCCCTCTCTCCTGCCATCTGACAAAAAGCCTCTTTTTTCGCTTCCAACTTCGGCTCTTTTTATAGAGTGCGCATCTCTAAGCCTGCAAATCAGTTGGCGGAATACCAGCCACCACCAGCAGTGCATCGTTTCTAGAGCGCAAATCTGCTCCTGTGAAGTATTTAGTGTCACTCCTGACAGGCCTTCGATGAGCATCTGCGAGGACGAATCCTCTAGGGCATGGTTGGAGGCCCACGTGGGGGATCTGCGGCCGTGGGAAGGCGCAAGGCTCATTACGATGAGCTTTGGAGACCTTCCCATATACCACCGCGTGATGGCCTGGTTTCCGGGTCCCAACCTGGATAACGGGGTCATCACGAGGAGACTCAGGAGGCACAATCCTGGGACTTTTCCCAGCGCGTGGAGGATACTTGAGAGGAAGGAAGAGCCGATAGGTGTCCGACTTGTCCTCTCAGTTGATTCCATAAGCTGGAAGGTCATTGTAGGTAACGGCAACAGGCTGTGTTGCGGTGGAAGTTCGGGGGTGTTTACACTCCTGAGCAAGAAGAAGAGCAGTGGAGCGACACCTGCTGGAACTGGCCTGGCTCCAAACCAGGAGTCGGACCAGCCCAGACCGACGGGAGCTGTGGCGGTAGACCAGGCTCCTTCACAGGGGATGGGTCGGCCGGGTCAGCTCTCGCTGGAGCCACCGGAGGCTACGGACGTGGAGGCGGCGGGTCCAAGCGGGATATCCGCAGAAAACATCGTGGCGGACCCTGCGATGGATCTGGTCCCAGAGGAAAACGATAGCGACTCGGACGAGGATGGAATCCTGAACCGAGTCCGAGAACTCCTCCGTGGAAGCGGAGATGAAGGCGGCTGTGGCAGCGATGACTGCGGCGGCGACGGCGGTACGCCCGAATAGGGGTTACATACCGTCATTCGGGAAGGTGTAGGAAGGGCCTCTCAACATCCATGGTAAGTTTTAATTTCATCCAAATTAACTTACAACACTGCATAGCGGCTTCGAGGGCCCTTACTCAGGAGATCACTCGAGGCCGACATGACGTGGCTCTCATCCAGGAACCCTGGCTGAGAAACGGTTCAGTAAACGGGCTTAGTATACCAGGCTATACGCTTTTTAGCGATACTCCGGACACTAAGCCCAGAGCTTGCGTAATGACTTCCGTCAACTCATGGCAACTTAAAGAATTTACATTCAGAGACTTAGTTGCAGTCAGAATTAGATATAAGAAGGAAGGCAGTGACAGGGACTTGGTTGTCTGTTCGGCTTACCTTCCTTACGATTCAAGAGACCCTCCTCCGTCTAAGGAAATGGGGGACCTTGTCGCATTCTGTAGGGATTCTGGACTCGACCTTGTGATTGGATGCGACAGTAATGCCCATCACGTTGCGTGGGGCAGCTCGAACACCAACAGACGAGGCGAAGACCTGATGGAGTTTCTTGGGGCATCGAACCTTGAGGTTCTGAATGTCGGTAACATGCCCACTTTCAGCAATAGTGTAAGAGAAGAGATTATCGACGTAACACTGAGCACGCTTAACTTAGCTCAGGACATCAGGGACTGGAAAGTGTCTCTAACACCCTCTCTATCGGATCACAGGTATATACTGTTCAAGACTGATGGAGAGATTCCGGATAAATATGCTCGGAATCCCAGGCATACTAGATGGGGGTCCTTTAGGGCAGACATTGACAGTAAGCTTGGAGCGGTCCCATACAGGCTTGGCAGGGGCTCTGACATAGAAGCAGCTGTCGAGTCTCTGAGCAGGGACTTGACGGCCGCATATGAGGAAAACTGCCCGTTACGCAAAGTACAAGGTAAGGGCAAGGCAACCTTCTGGACCAAAGATTTAGAGGATAGAAAACGAGCGGTGCACAAACTTCTTAGCAGAGTTAAGCACAGGAGAGGTTCTCCTCTATGGGAAGAATACAAAAAGGCATTGCAGGAGTACAAAAAGGAGATTAGAAGGGCCTCCAGAGAATCCTGGAGGCACTTCTGTCAGTCCATAAATGACATTCCTGCTACTGCAAGAATACACAGAGTCCTATGCAAAGACACTAAAGCAAGATTGGGATCTCTGCATGATCCCTCGGGAGGGAACACTACTTCCGAGGAAGATACTCTGAGGCTTCTGATGGATACGCACTTTCCCGGTTCCACAGTAGCGCGATCAATCACAGAGTGCATGCAGTTGCGCAGGCCCTCAAGGGAGGACTGGCGCACGGCAAGGGAGATTGTCACCTTCGAAAGGACGGTATGGGCAGTAGATTCGTTTGCCCCATACAAAAGTCCAGGTCTGGACGGCGTATTTCCGGCCATGTTACAGCAGGGACGGATTTCGGTTGTTCCTTACCTGTTGAATGTGTTTCGAGCATGTGTGGCCACGGGCTTCACACCTAGAAGTTGGCGGCAGGCTAAAGTGGTATTCATTCCTAAACCGGGCAGAGATAGATATACTGGCCCGAAGGATTTTCGACCGATTACTCTTTCATCTTTTGTGCTTAAGACCCTGGAAAGGATAGTTGATAGATACCTAAGGGATGGCCCACTGGAAAGGTGTGTCATTCATGCAAATCAGTTTGCATACCAAGCTGGAAAATCGACTGATCTGGCCTTACACAATCTGGTTGGGAGGCTGGAGAAGACTCTAGATCAGCGAGAAGTGGCACTCGTGGCCTTCTTAGATATTGAAGGTGCATTTAATTGCACCACAACCGACTCTATCAGACAGGCCTTGGTTAGACACGGGGTTGGATCAATCCTAATAGATTGGGTCCTCTCTACTCTGGAGGGTCGGGTAACAACAGCTATGCTGAATAACGTAAGCTGCAGCGTGAACGTAGCTAGAGGCTGCCCTCAGGGTGGAGTTCTGTCACCCCTACTGTGGTGTATCGTGGTGAACGAACTGCTCGTTAGGCTCAACAGTATGGGTGTCTACGTGCAAGCCTATGCTGATGACGTAAGCATAGTGGTTAGGGGGCGTTTCTGTAGAACAGTCTCGGAAATTATGCAGGGCGCTCTGCGCTCCGTGGAATCGTGGTGTAGGGAAGTCGATCTTTCTGTTAATGCTGAAAAGACCGAGCTGATCCTATTCACTAGGAGAAGAAGGCTTGACGGACTGGTCATGCCTACCTTCTTTGGGACTAGATTAGTTTTGTCCCAGTCAGTGAAATATCTGGGAATTATCCTGGACTGCAAACTGAACTGGAGAGAGCATGTGGAACACAAGGTTAGCAAGGCTCGCAATTCGATGTGGGCTTGTAGACGTGTTGTCGGTGTAAGGTGGGGGCTTAAACCCAAAGTGGTATACTGGCTCTACACGACGATAGTACGTCCATCTCTCTTGTACGGCTCCCTGGTCTGGTGGCCTTGCATTAGAACTGAGTCAACTAAGGCCAAACTCAATAAAATTCAGCGTTTGGCCTGTATTAGCATTACAAGCGCAGTGCGAACAACGCCATTGAGTGCAAT